ATTTGACCCAAAGTAAGAAATAAAAAACTTTAATATCGATTGACTCTGACGCGATTTTGATTTATATGCTCGGATTCGTAAACAAAGTTTAATGCATTGCTTTAATTGCACCCAAATTTACTTAATAATACTAATGAGCAGTTTAATAACTCCGGCTTGTCGTGATCATGACCTACCACTAAGAATTATTGATGCTATAAATTGATTGCCTGCCTGTCAGCCAATTTAAGTTGGAAATGAGACGAGCCCAGGTTATTCCATTCATACAAGAGCATCAGCAAGAGTGCTAATTAATGAGTAGGCACCCAGCAGCAGGAGCATCCTCATGATATTTATGTAAGTAAGTACGACTTGCTCCATCATTTAATCATGAAGAAACCATAAAAAAATTGAGCATACAAGAAAGAAACATGCATCGATCGAGTAATAAGTTTGCACAGGTTCATTAACCAAGTTGTTGCGGCTGGTTTGGTTACCACCGCAGAAGAGCACGCAAAGTGTGTCCATGTACAAACACATAACCGACCGACGCAACAGGAAAGTAAAGTTGGTGATGGGATGATGTAACAGAATCAAATCTCTGGGGTAAAAGCAAAGTCTATTCGCCCCGAAAACTTTTTTTCCCGTTTCATTTCATCCGATTTTTTTGCATATCTCTGTCACATTAAGTTCCTGCTGCATTTCATCCGGAGAGGAACCTACATACTTCAAAAACTGTTCTGTATGAGCACCCTTATTAGGTGCACTAGAGCCAGAACTCCATTACAGTAAAGATACAAAAACATGATGCCCATTATTTTACGCACTTTTCAAAGTTTGTCTTTAACTCGGGGGATTTTGGTGGGGAGAGAGAAAAACTATTTCAAGTAATGGTTTCCTCTTGGTTGATTTGTCGGTGTGAGTGAGTGCGCCTGAGGTATTCGGCCGGCAAAAGAAGAAGTAATTTCATGGATTCCTGTGATGCAGAGAGAGAAAGCGGGAGTTAGTAAAGGCAGGTTCGGAATCATTGAAGCCATGTTTCTAGTGGTGGTTATCCCACGTTTTGAATGACACCAACCGGGATAAAGTGTGGGGTGGCTCTTGCTTCTCCCAAAGATTTTCATGTAGCGGACAAAAATACGGTTTGAATGGGGATTCAATGATTCCGAACCCGATTTTAGTGAACGAGTACGTATTGTACGAGCATTGTTTTTGCAAGGGCAATTTGGAAGGGAGCTGCAAGGGAGTCGGAGCTGCATGGTACTTTCGATCTGCTTGGGAGTACAATGTTTAAAATAAAGAGACCTTGGGCGTTTGGATGAGAGTTGAACATGAATTTCCGAAAGATTAATTCATGAGAATTTTCTCATTCAAGATCCATCCTCATATCCGTGTGGATTTCGAGATGTGGACATGTCGGCAGTTGTTTTGGCGTGGAATTTTCATGTTATTTATCCCATCCAATAGTTCAGTTAGGCCGAAATTCTGGCTAGACAATATATTTATAAACTACTCGATTCGTAGTAATAATGATTATTATACAAGTACAAAAGCTAATCAATTCTTTTTTGCCAGTGTGCATACAAATATGCAAGAAATGATATAACAATATATCAATTTTCCAACAATGGTTGTGAAATTTTTCCCAATTTTGCAACGCAATTTTGACAAACATCATCACTTTTGTCTATTGTGTTATTTTACATATGTCAAATGTCAAGTAATTTATCTCTGTATACTTTCGCTTGCCGTGAGTAAGTAAGTAATATCGTGAAGGCTGAAATATTTTTCCTACATTTTTGATGTCCTCTCTCTCTTCTTCTCAAATGGGATTCTTCACCCAACTTCATCGTGGTGGTTTATTTCACATCATTTGAAATGAAAATGAGTGGTCTCCTCATATCAACGACGCGTTGAAGCGAACATGATCTCATCCCTGGTTTCAAGAGCGTATCAACATCAACTTGTTTTAAGCCTCCGTTGTACAAACATTCTATTTGCCATCAATACGACCGACGGCTGAGTTGTCAGATGAACACGGAACACGAACATTGTACTTACTCGTCTCCCTTGCCTTATTTCGCACCATAACATTCCATCCACACGATAATATTGTATCAGGAAATGTGTGGCCCACGGCAGAAATGCACTTCATTTCGTTTCCTTAAACTGTATCCTTATCGAGGACGATATGTACGATGTACAGACATCTTTAAAGTCCTCTTCGACGTGGTGGGTGCCCTGCATGACTGCACTTTCAGCTGCCCTTCATTCACCAAAGGTTCCAACACCACAAATCCATAAACCTATGAATACCCACCAAATCTGCAGACTTCTCACCACAAACAATTGCGTGACACATGGGAAACTTTATTGTACAAAAGTCGCATTTATTTATTATTTAGTTAGTACTGCAAAATATATTTTTACAACAGAGAAAAAAATCAGATTTCAGACAAAACTCGTGTTTGTCTCTAACGACGAGACGAAGGCAGTGACAATCATCTTCCTGTCCTATTTACTAAACGCTATTACCCGATGCAGATTGTACATAAATACGCAACAAAGTTTCATTTTTCCTCCTCCTCCTCCTTCTCTGCATTCGATTGAATTGAATTTGAGACATTTTGAGATGGCTTATCCTCCTTTTTTTGCTCGTCTCATAACCATTAGCGTTATTCAATTAGGAAAAAGCAAGTTTGCGAGAGGAAATTTAATTTTTATCTTTTTCCCTGCTCAGTAATAGTGGTGGTAATGATGGTACTGGTACCAGTAGTGGTCTGGTAGCACCCGTAGTGATGGGGTTGTTGTTGTTGTTTTTTTTCTCTAAAAGAGCAACGACATGACATTATTTACTTATTTACTATACATGAGAATCACATTAGACCCGAGAACATGCAAGTGTGCGGAATGAGAAAAAAAGCGCATTGGATTTTAGAGCATGCTATTGAGCTCGCTGATTGAGCTGCGACATTGAAGATCTTTTGCATAGGACGCTGCTCCTGGACAGTTTAGGTTGGTGGGCCAGCCATTGAGACTGGCAGCTCGAGATGCAGTGCATGGCGCAATTTATCTTTAACAATTTTTATGTGGAGCACCGAGGGATTAGTTAAATTGAAGACCGGGTTGCAAGGACATTATTGAGGGTTTAAGAAGCGGGAGGCGCGTCTACTCCGGTCCGGAGGATGGAGGAATTTTTTTGTTCTTCTTCTTTTTTTTCGGAAGCAAGGAAATCGGAATGGCTTTGTGTCTTAGTAGTTATTGCACAGCTGATGTTGTTGTTGCTTCTTCTTCTGGCTGGGCGTATGCCACATGAACTTATTTTCCATCCACTCACCTTTCTCTCTCTACTGCTACTATTTTCAGAAGCAAGTGGCTCATCTTCGTCTCTTTCACTTTCCTCAGCTTTCGTCGTCGTTCGTCCGCTCTTGGTTTGCGGATGCAAAGGGAAAAACATAAAAAAGGGTCTTGGATGAAATTGGAAATTGTAGGTCCGTTCCAAGTTGTAGGACCGTTCCAAGAAAATCTAGTTAAGAGGCTCCTCCTCCGCGAGAGAAAATCGATGAGACCAATCCGATTCTGAGTTGGAACGTTCTTCCAGCCACTCGCTCGCTCCCTCACCGCTTTCAAATCCATAAGCATGTTCATCATCCTGTTAGCTCATACACACTCACACACACCAAACCAGCACCAGCAGAGAAACCTAACTAAACCTCAAGACCAGCCATACATACCAGCAGCAGAGGAACAAGAACCAGTCTTGTCTCAGATCCCCTTCGAGCTAACAACGCCAGAAATACGGAACGAACGCTAGTAAAGAAACAACTCATGCAATCAGCAAAAACTACACCACCACCGACACGACGACCAAGTCCAAAACAACATAAAGCATGCGAGACCACTAAAACTTTTATTCTGAAGGAGCAAAATTTTTTAATCAATGCCAATTCTCAGGTATGCTTTCTCATTCCTCGGGGTATTCTCATGTAGTACGTACATTTCCTAAGGCAGCAGCAGCATCTCACTGCATTGTGTCCCCTTCACATTTCAAGTATGCGTTTCTTATTCTACCAAAATCATCGTCCTCCTAACTATCGTCTCATCTCATCCCTGCCGACCTGTCAGAGTCAGAACAATACTCACAAATTTTACATGCCATTTTTCCCAAGTTTATACAAATTACTACCACGAGACAACAATGAGACTTGATTGTCAAGTCGTGGGAACATTTTATAGAAAAGACTGTTGCATCTCTAGACTCTTGATGTGGTAATAATGTCCGTGCTAAACATGTGACAAGTGTAGGATATTGATCATTGCACTTGTTGGAGGAGGAGGAGGAAGAGATGGTAAAAGGTGACCTGTGTGAGTACCAGGCAGGTTTTTAAAGTCGTTCTTTATAAATATGATAACCTGTTCATTTGTAATTCTTTGCGAGAGGCATGACAGTTTCTTGGTCCTCTCCCACCCGTCTGTCCATCCATCCATCCGCCCGTCCGTCCGTCCATCAACTTTCTTTCTGCAATTTGTACATAAACGCATTGCTCAAGAAGTTTTACTCCTCCAAGTATGAAAGGGAGACAAGCCAACCAAGAATTTGTGGGTCGTCGTCGTCATGCATGTATTTGTATCTTACGTAGCAGACAATGCGTCGGTCGGTGGTGGGTTGCTGGAGGAGGTTGTTGGAGCGACAGGTTTGTGTTTGTTGAAGACTTTTTGTCCCGCGGAGGAAAGGTCGAGTCCATGTCGATCTTAGAATGTGACAGGGCGAAGACCCCGACTTTTGTCGATGGTGTCAAGTGACATGAATACATGAAATGAATGACACGTTACACACAGAGAAAGTGACAAGGAGGACTTGAGCCGCCCATCCGTTATGCTTCATGTATTATGTGTAAGATTATGCAATATGCATGACCATAACATTATTAGGTGGATATGAACATATCAATGTTTTGTATGCATGTAGGACTGTTTGATAAGGAGAAGGGAAATAAAAGTATGTGTACATACGAATCATAAACATTTCTTGTATTGTTACCGATTATCCGGCAAAGTCTTTTATTTTTTCCATATCATTCTCAAAAGGGTTCACAAAGAAGTCACATCGAGCACAATCACCATTTAGAAAAACCCAAAGACTTCGTTGATGTACAAAAAAGAGATGCATTTGGTTGTAGTTGGTTGGTGGGTTATTTATGTTGTTCTTTCTCTCTCTCTCCCTTCCCCCCTTCTCTCTCCTCGTACAGGTTGTGATGCATTTCTTCGGCGGAGAGGCTACTTACGAGTCACCTTGCTTTCTCCAGCGGCAGAAGAAGAACTTTTTATTGTGGGCAGCAATGATGATCCACAAAGTGAATAAGACCAGCGTTTGGCAGGGATTCGAAGAGTCGACCTGTGTGACGACACCAGTGGGACAGTGGCCTTATCAGGGTCATTATTTTCATTGGCATCATCCGGGCTGTCTTGAGTGTGTAGCGAGTGGGTGAGTGAGTGAATCTGTACGTTGCAATATTAGCGTGGCGATGATGATGATTTTAAAAACTTTGGTGTTTCGTAACAGGAGAAGAGAGCACATTATTTTGGTGACACAAACACACTTTTCCTTTATATCTGTACATGTGCAAGTAGTAGTTTTTCGTAATAATCTGTTCTTACTTCACTACAACCATATAAATTAAGGTCACAAAACTAATCTTCATTCATACACTGGACGCTAAAACAGATCTGATGATGACTCTGGCCAAGCTGTGGGACACACGCCCATTTTCAGCTTACCTGGCGGCATATAGTCTGGACTTGACCTGCAAATTGGGAAGAATTTAGGTTTATATATACAAGCACAATGAAATTTTTCATACGGCAAACAAGGATTTCAATGAAAAGATAAGACAAAAAAAGAAGAAAAACGTTATGGAGTATGATGGTCAAGGGAAAGTGGTTACGATTCAGTTGGATAATTTAATTATGATAAAAATGGTAAAATGCAGGAGTAATGTGAGTTTAAAAAAAATAACAATGGATTACTCACCTAGGTTGGTTCATAAGTTCCTGGCTCATAAATCCGCCAGGGGGACCGCCAGAGTTTGGGGGGCCCTGTCCATCCGGTGGGGGCAAGGGCCCACCCCCACCAAACTCTCCGATGGGTTGATCCAGTGGACCGGGGACTGTAAAGTGAGAAAAGGAACCCATTTTTACTACACCTGCACTTTTGTGTCGTCTCATTGTGGATGTAAGAGAAGAAAAAAAGTCTGGCACTCACTATAATGGAAAGCTGACTTACCGCCCCCAGGAGGAAAGTGGGGTTGCTGGCCAGGGAAAAATTCGTGGAAACCTTGCCCAGGTCCTCCACCTCCAGGCCCGTAAGGGAAATCTGAGAACTTGGCGTCGGGGAAATAAGGAAAAGGTGGGTTTGGACCGTCATCCATACTGGAGCTGATATTCATGGGAAAGCCACGCATTTTTCGGGATGAGCCAAAAAACGGTCCTCGCCCCATCGATGTCAATTGCTTTAGTCTTCTTTCCTTGCTTCTTTTATTTTGGAACCACACCTATCATGAAACCATCCTCACTTTTAATACACGTTGGACATCACTCATGACATGAAAGGCCTGGTTGATGCAAATCAGTGCATACGTAAATTTGAACTAGATCAATGTCTACCTGGATAACTCGCATGGGGAGAGAAGTTTCTTTGGCCAGTTGTTCTCGGATATGTCTGGTGGGCTTTGGGGTTTGAGAGAATGCTGTTTTGAGTATTTCCAGCTGTTTGGCTGTTAAAATACAGAAACGATTAAATCAACCATCGAAATGCTAGAGATCAGTTCAAGGGGCTAATAAATATGTCCCTCAAACCTTTGATCGTGGTACGAGGGCCTCGTCTTTTCGATCCCACCGATGAATCCTGTAAAAAAACGGTAGGTCATTACCCCTCCGAATTTCTTTTGTTTCTCGCATCATCCATAATTTTTAAAGTCCGACTAACCTCCGGAGACTTGTTCTCCGCGCCTGGATCCCTCGATTCGCCATCTGCGTCCATCGAACCCTACGCACGTAAAAGACCTTGGATGCTTTACTTTGCCAACCATAATATCACCATCTAAATGATCCATGTGCCTTGCTTTACTGCCCATATGCTCTCTCATCATCATCAAACTATGCACACGGCGTTAGACACAGATGACCCCTCGTAAATAAGAGAGAGTGAGATTTTTGAGCTAGTTTAGCAGCAGCAGCACAGCCCGTGGTTGTGCTGAGACAATGATCAATGCGTACCTCAGACTCGTTTCCATTGTCTTTTTCAGGATTGCTATTGTCACCCGAGGATGTGATTGGGGTTCGCACGTCGGTATCACCCACGAGGGTGCCACCCTTGGTCGCTGGTGAAAATAAGAAAATGATTAGCCGACACATACATAAATATTTTCACTCATTTCCACTCATACTCTTTCCTGGAATGATTAATAAGTAGGAAAAGAACTACTTACGAGTGACCATCCCAGGCAGCGAGGTGCTTCCAGGACTCAGACTGGAATGGTGGTGGTGGTGACCGAGTCGACAGTCTTCCGCGTTCAAGCTGATGTCGTCATCGTCGTCATCTTCATCATTGGAGAAAAGGGATTCTATACAATTAAATGTGTCCGTACCGTTTATTATGAGAAGAAAGAAAGAGGAAAAAACTAGTTTGGACCAATTTCTTTCTCCTCTTTGTCAAATTATTGTGACGATCCGTTCCTTATTACTATTTTACTGTGTGCTTTATTGGCACTCGGCGTCATCGTATTGAACGATTTCCTACTTAATTTTCCTATTTAATTTCATCCTGTGCATAGTAAATCGTGCATGCATGCAACGAGTGAGACGGTATACACATGTTATTACTATTATCTATTTCCAGCACTAAACTGACTTTACTGCAACTAGCTGGTCCTGCCTGCCTCTCTGCATATGTCCTTTTGACGACAGAAAATTACAACACTTGCAGCTTTGCGTTCCCATTTATCCGCCTTCCTTCTTATCCTCTGCGGGCCAGACAAGGATTTAGCAAAGTCAGAGTTTTAGTTTGCATTTAATCCGATTTTGTGGCATTCTCTCCCTACTTCATCTCTATCTGATGATGAGATTGATACAGTTGCCATTCGAGAATCAGACAGGGCACGCATGGGAGAAAGCGAATTCAACTGTCTGACTCCTTTATCCTCTCCAAAACAAGCCATAGGCCGCCATACGTATGCACATATAGTTCCATTCCATCATTTTTATTATGTTTTGCTCCTCCAGCCCATTTTAATCCCATTTTCCTCACATTCAAACCAACGACGACGACGGATTCTCCACTCCAAACACTGATCTCCTCATTTTGATACTTGGTTTGGTATTATTATTGCTACTACCCTGCCACTCTGATATTCCTCGTCGAATAAACCAACCGAACAGAGAGAGAGCTTTATTAAATCCATCGCTTTGCCGTCTCTTTTTCCATTTCACTTCACTTTTCTCTTATCTAATTCTGCCTGCACCACTTCAAACTCTTGACACTGCTCCGAAAGAGACACTTCTTTTTGACTAATTTTTTCAAAGAGAAAATTCTAGTAAAAATTGAATTTGCTTGTCTTACCTTGCTTTGCCTGGATGTAGTCGTCTTTGCAGATAAACTTTGAGTCATCGAGGACGTAGAGTTCCTCCCCCGTTGACATTTCTCTCCGGCACATCGTGCATGTGAAACAATTTATATGATAAATCTTATCACGAGCCTTGCGAACCATGTCGTGCGGTGAGATGCCTTGAGAACAACCCGAACATTTGGTGCCATACCGTCTGCAAAGAATTTGGAAAAAAAAATTAATTTTTTAACAGTCGTATTATTAAAGTTGTTGTCATAAAAGCATGTAAATAAATACGTAGGTACAATTATACGATCAATAAATGACACTCTTTTTCCATATAAAATTATTATTACCACTTATACTACGACTGCATAATTACATCCACTCCAGTCGTGTCACAAAAAAAGGTGCATAAAAGTCCGGAATATGTCCATAATAAATAATGTGCACTGCATTTTTATCGGAATTCCACTGGCCACGGACACCCAGCCCATAACTCTTTTTGTTTATTGCAATCAGTAAAATTTTCGCAGACATCTATTTATCGTCAATCTTACTCTTTTCCTTATTGACATTTTGCATATTATATGTCTGCAATTAACTCCGGTCGTCTCAAATGCACCAGCAGAGCAACGTATCGATTTTTCATCCGAGATGCTGCTGGGTAATAATAATAGCCATAAGAAGAACTAGTAAAGCTTATTCGGCTCAGGAGCAGATACGGTTTTGCTATTAGATCAGGGTTACGAATTACTTCTCAGCCTGCGCATTGTGGTCGGCCTACGATAAGCATATTATTATTATTACTACCACTATAAACGTGGATGATATGATACATAAGCTGCTGCTACTGGTCTCATCTCATCGCTTGTCCAGTGAGTCGGCGGAACAACTAAATTAGGAATTAATTACTAGACTGCTCGTCGAGTAAAATAATATTTATTTATAATTATCCTTTCACCTAGTCAATTATGGAGAGGAGGCGGATGTTGATGAGACAGATCCAGACCAGTCCTTACTTAAAGGGCAAGGTTTACGAGGAAGAAAGTTGAGACGAAGATATCGCAGGAGCAGAACATAATAATAACAATGTTATTGTTGTTCTTGCGCCTTGAGCCCTATTTCCAACTTGTGCTGATCAGGATGTAATGTGAAATTATTAAGACAAATTACTGGGAGGAGGAGGAGGAGGTCGAGAGGAAAGGAAAGTAGGAGGAATGAACGGGTGGGAGAATTTTATGTAAACGGCCGACACTCAATAATAATCTATCCATCCTACATGACTGACTACATGAATTGTGTGTACAACAATGTATACTGATAAATTGTGTAGAGTCCTCGAGCAAAAAGTGAATGAGTGGGCAGCAGCAGAATTGTTCCTTCATAATTTGTCAGTAGAGAAATAAAGTCACGTTTTGTATAGAAAATAAAAATTCGGGATTTCAAATTATAACCTTCCGAAGGAAAACCTTAAGTTTTAAATGAGGGGTTGATACCAGAAATTACACCCCAGTAATTGCACGTTGTGTACACATGTACACTTATCTTAACCGGATTTTGTAAACAGTGTGTATTATTATAGGTATACACGGTCCGTGGAGTGTAGGCAGAGGCAGGCATGGAATGAAACACATCGTACGTAAGTACGAAGGTTATTGGAAGATTTGGAGATGAAATAAGAACAATATAAGAATAATAAAGGCACTCAGACTGCACGTATGTAGGTAAAATTTAAGTGTTGTGTATTAAGTAGTTTGTTGTGGCCAAGTTAACTGCCCAGGCGAGCCCCACGTTGTTGCAAACGAAATTACATACACACAACACACCAGTTTCAAAACAGTGGTCGTCGTCTACAGTACATACGATTGCCAAGTTCCCATTATGCTATTATTATTATGCTTTGATCGTAATGGAAATTAAACAACACTTATCTCCTCCCATCGCCACCATAGTCCACTCGAAAACGACGTACGTACACATTTTCTCAACTGCGATGCCCTGATAAGTAGAAAAGTCAAGACGCCGAGAGAAGAAAAGCAATTGTATCAAAGCTCACGTTCAATTTAGTGTAACCTGCTTTGCATTTTGATATCCACCTCCAAAAAGTGTACCAGTCTTCGTGGCTGGCTTCTGTCCTGTGAGAATTGAAAATTGCAACCCGAGTCTCACGTCTTTGCCACTGCACTGTCTGCATGCCTGCCTCCTCGTAAGTAAGTAAAAGTCGTGGTCGTGGTTCAACAAATCCTGCCTAATTGGCAATGCTCAACACCATCAGGAGTCAAAAGTCGAGTCAGGGGAAGCACTTCCAATTTAGTAAATTTCGACGGAATTAGACTCAATTTCAGTTATCTACTACGCCTTCGTCGAGCAACAGGACGACGACGATTAGTAAAGTGTCTGCAAGGACGAACTTTTCGAACCGTGAGGACAATCATCATCTAAAAAAATGTTAATGCAACGATTCGCTACTAATTTAAGAAAAAAAAAGTTCCAAGAATCAAGTTCCATCATCCGAGTCGTCTCCAATCACGACTTACGTACATACATACTTGTTCTTACATATGTATGTACCTGGCTACATCACTTATTGGCATTTTTTTAGCACATCCTCCTGATCCTTTGCCAACTAGTACTAACTCAGTAATAAGTGTGCAATTGCTTGCGGTAGTGTGTGCAAAGGAAGATGCCACAGGGTCTAAAAATTCAGTGCTTGCTTGGTTGCCTTCTTGACGTGTGTATGTACATTTGTATCGTTATTTATGATTTGGGTGCACAATTTCTTTACCTTCTTCCGCCCTCAACACGGCGATTATACAACCAACCAGCAACCTGTTCAATTTGTTGTTCACTCGACCGAAATTTGTCTGATTAATATGCACACCATCGTCCCGTAAATAAATAGAGTACCCAGTACACCAACTTACACCATGCAACGCAGAGTTTTCCCATTGTTTTGCCCAAATAATAAATAAATAGGTCTCTCCTCCTAAACGTGGTGTGAACCGTGTGGCGAAGAATAGAAAAAAATAAGTGAGGAAAAAAATCACGTCCACTTCTTTGGACGGATCGATTACTCCATCTCCTCCTCAGAGGAATGAGAATAAATGGTCATTGCAGAACAAGGTGTTCCGCCGTTGCGTAAGGAATTTCTAAAATTAAGTTGGCCAACAACGACGACGACGAGAGTTTATCCACTACATGCGAACGACGATCTTTGGATAAAGCTTTTAAGGTGATGATGATGATGATGATGTCGATGACGAATAAATAAGTGAAGGGACAATCAATATCTAATAATGTGGAGATTGCATTAAATGTATTTATGCGAGTAGATACAACTCGAGGAGACTATAATTATGTGTAGTTTTTCTCTCTCTACTGCTGGGTGGGATAAAATGTAAATAAAAAAAGTTGTACTTTGATTGTCACTCTTGTAGGACTGTATCACATTGAAGTAGTAATGCTTAAAAATAACTTGTAAAAACAAAACAAATGTGTCGAGATAGGCCGCAACCAGCCAAAATAAAATTGGCACGATTGTTCATGACGTAATACGCAGGCAGAATCAGCTTAATACGATCCATCCATCCATCCATGCCAACCGGACAAAGTCAATTCGTGACATTTCTGCCCAATGGGCTAATCAGTCCCATCGAAATGAATACTGAATCTGATGCAACTTACTGCGGACAAAGATAAGTAAATACAGAACATGCATGCATTTCCAACAACAATGTCACCGAATCATCAGCCAGCAAACCATGCCATTTTGTATGAAATAAAAAAAGCACACGACAACGCAACTTTTTAAAAGATAATAGCTCCATTTTACACCAAAAGTGAATATGTATGTACGGATCCACAATCCATGTATGTGATAACAATAAGCGATGTTTTTCCTGCCTGGATGAACACCACTAACATTTAAGTATTTGAGAGCTGGTCCAGCACAATGACCTGCTCATCAACGGCTAGTTTAGTCTAAGGGGTTTCCAATTAGAGGATTCATTTCAAAGTGGAAAAGTCATTTGTTATTTCCAGAATAATGACACTTAACATTATTTTTGTCTTGGTAAACTGTTCTGACAGACAATGGAACAACACAACAACACGTCTTCGTTCCTACCCTGCTTCTCTCAACAATGGGAACCTTAGTGTGAACAAGGTAATGCATAATGAGTCGGCGGCGGCGGCATGTCATGTAACCTACGTAGAAGACCAGTTAAGGAAGAAACTTCTTCTCAAAGTAGGTAAAAGTCATGGGTTCCTTAAATTTGAACATTGCACTTTGAAAGGATGAGATGTAAGTGAAGGATGAATGGCTTATTATGCAGATTGGTCGGTCTAGTTTTGCGCTATGATCAGGACGACGACGACGAAGAAGTGCATTGTTGTCTGCACATAGAAAACGAGATTATTGGCCCTCAAGGACCCTCTGACACGCTCCAGCACAACATAATTAGCTCCCTCCCTCCCAGTTCCGTCTCACTTCACACTCATTCAGAGACAGACACAATGAACCGTTGTTAACGAAACGACTAACTAAATACGTAAATGCGTTACCACATATCAACCGCAACAAGGATGATTGTGCGTAAAGACGCACAATTGTCGAGAGAAAAAAGAACAAGAGAAGTTTTCTCTTCAGTTTCGATAACAAGAAAAAAACGGGAGTTTTGTACAACTCAACGTGAGACAGTGATGAGTAGGTTGCATCGTGTGAGGGGCACAAGTGAGACGACATGCGACTAATATGCTCCACTTTTCAGTCAACGAGATAATTATATAATTCGACTAGTAAATCATTCTAAGTCCGGGTGAAAATCATAATTGTATTTCTACCCGTATTTTAAACCAATATATGATAACAGCTCATTTTCTACTTATTACTTAGCTAGGTATTCATTAAAATTTTGGGTGCAAAAGAGTCAAAATTTGCGTGAAAAGTGTGGGGCTCACCTGAAGAAGTCGTTTTTGCAAAAGAGCTTATTTTCCCGTGAGAAGCAGCGGTCAGAGAGGAGGGTGCGGCAGTCGAAACAGCGAACGCAGTCCGAATGCCACGACCGCTCCAACACGGCTGTCAAAATAACAACAAAATATTATTATTAGTCGATTTTCATACATTTAAATACATCCAAGTTTTTAGCGGACAGCGACAAATTTTTGTGTAAACTTCCAAAATTAGTGACCACAATTCTACTTTAACTCAAACCTAAATTGACCTTACCCACAATATAGCGGTCCAGTATGGCTTTGTCGCACGCAGTACACGACACGATCATTCTGCCCCCAATCTTGCCCACCTTCCGAGTCACGCCAATGATGATGCCAACCACCAAATATTTGCACTCGTGAGAGAACTATGTATGTGTATACGTTGGGACCAAATAATTGATACCAAAAGTGTCAACTATCCGCATACATATATTATTCCGCTTAGTAGACACAAAGTCTCAACAGTTTGTCAACAACAACTTTGCTCTCCGTGTTTACCGTGTATTCCTGGTGGCAAGAAAGTAATTAGCTCCTCTTCACTTATTTATCTTATTTGTCGTCGTCCCACTATTGTTATTTACCAATGCACCAACCCCCTTTAAAAAATGTTTGAATAAATATCGTGTACATTATTATTTATTCTCTTCTCGCAGCAGTATTGCCTTGTCAGAGTCTGTGCACCAAATGTGTGACACAGACAGGAGAGCAGCAGCAGCAGTGATACAGTTTTGGTGAGGTGTGTCGAGACTGAGATATCGGAGAGGAGAGTAAATATACGAGCATCGCTTGGCTTATCTTGAGCACTTGGTGTCACTGGTCAATTGCTGCGACAAAAGAGTTGACATGTCGGGAGCTGTTGAGAGAGACAAGCGGATAATATTATTGACGTTTATCACCCTGACGGACACACTCCGACCGACGGACCAACCACCACTACTACTTGTACTACTCCAATCCAGTGATATCGAAATGCAGTCAAAGGCTTATCTCCGTGAAACAACCTCGTCTCCTCCGTATGCATTCCACCACAACGACCATGCTGTTCATGTCCCGATAATAACAACACCAAGAGATATCGTCACACCTAAAACCTCACTAACCACCAATAATTCCGAGGATGATGACGATAATTATCTGTTAGGATGACCACGCGAAGATGATCATCACACTTTTGCCACACGCTACTCGGCGTCGATACTCTTATAGATACTCGAGAGCTGCTAAAAAAGTGTCGCGTGGACAGCTCGAACCGGAAGGAGGACGGTGAGTGAGTGAGTGAATACGTGAGTGAGCGACGGTGTTTCAAGTGTCGTCGTCCAAGGGGCAACCCTGGTGGTACTTTTTTGAGCAGAACGTGTTCACAGTGCGGCTGCTGCTGCGTCGTCGAGAGGAATGAGAGAATAGTTGCGAAGCGAAGGACTCAAAGCGAGGGTTTCTCGTGATGATCTCCAATCCATGCGCTTGTGGGAGCCAATGGGTTGCGCCTTAACAACCTCCGCCCATCCGCACTCCCACTGGCTCGCTCGTCCCCAACCCTGCTAACAAAACCGGCTTCTAACAACGTCCGTCTTCAGACTACTGCACGTCTTTCGTCGTCTTTGGAGTTTGGAGATGCACCACGCTCTCTCCGGGAAAAAACCTCTTGCACCCAAATGGTCAAGAAATTCATGGGAATTTACAGATATTTTTTCGCCCAAAATTTATTTCCGTGGGTGGGAGACAAAGCCTTTCAAATGATCACTTTGCATATTCGTGACATGCAAAGGAATAACTTGACGACATATTTTTTTCAAAGATGGAAAAAATTTAAAACTGTTTCACGTCACGCAACTTTTTATTCGTTTGGATTGATTGGCATTTCAGCATTTTTTTTCCACCTGCAACGCAATTACACAAATTTTTAAGCCTTCTTAACCATCATTATGTTACACGCACGTCTAAAACTGCACCTATCTCACTCAAGAAGATGAACATGTAAAAATTCAGAAAAATAAAATACGCCATGCTTACTGTGGACGAAAATAATTCGAGTGTGACGATGGGTGTGGTGTGGTCATGCTATCTCATTTCCAGGCTACCTCCCAATTCCATGATATTTCATCACGTCTCAAATTACCAGTTTTCCATTACGATACAATTATAGTGATGGCCATTTTTATATAACTAACATAATAATGGAAACGCACAATTATACTTTTCAAGAAAACTTATAAAATATATAACGAAGTGAGATTCATTATGGAGCGTTGGTTGCATAAGGTGCTGTCAACTAATATTCGTTTCGTGTTGCAAAGTAATAATGTTTCTTGTTTGGATTTTGTGTATAAAGGTCTCATCAAGAAATATTTCTCCCAAATCCACTCTGACCAACATTGTGCCAATCATGCACGTAAACCCTTTTTCTTTCTTACCATAACTTTGTATGTACATGTATAACAATAATCAGTTTGTAGACACTTACCACTTTGGTGTGCTTATGTACGAACATTTGTAGAATTGGCTTATTTAAAATGAGCATTTTTCCATTTCCTTTCGTCCAGCAGAAGCAGCAGCAGGTTGTTGGGCTGATGGAAAGCATCCCTCGGCTCCAATTTGGCTCTCTTGTTCGAGATGGGAATTGAAATTTATTTTTAATGTTTCGAGAGGGGCTGTCCATCACGCGGAAAGCTCTAATTATCTGGGCATGGCTTATAATCGAATTTTTAAAATACTTTGTTCTCTCTTTAACCGTTTAGCTGCCCATTTTTGTCTCACTTTTTGGTTAAAAATAGGAAAAAGTCGGTAAAAATCAGCCCATTCAACTTCACCCATGAAATTTAATGAACAATGGATACCCTGAGAAAAATGGGTGGACAAATGATGGACGGAAATGTATCCTTTTGACGCGTGTCAATTTCTTGACCAAACCACAATAGCAAAAGGATATACATAAGTTTAGAATGACAGATAACTGTTGAAACAATCCAATAATTTGACTTTGTCACATTTCACTCTAATTTGTAAATATGGTCAGGCAATCCATCCCTTAAAAGTTATCAGATAAGCTCCACAAATTAATTTTTTACCATAAACATTTGCAAAAAATCGCAATCACAATCTACAGTAGTTTTTTTCTATTTTTAAATTTAAATTTGGATGCCGAATTTTAAATCAAAATTATCTACCATACAGTGCTTACGCATGCACTTTGCAAGTGTTTTCATATGACATACTTGTTAATTTATTCTAAACTATACATTCTACACATGCATTAATTTCTATAGCCAAAGACCCATAATAAATACATATCAACATTGAGACAAATATGAATAATAATAATAATAATACCTCGCTTGTTCATCATGATCCGATCTCACCATAATCTTTTCTCCAACCAAGATGACAACGTTTTTGTGTCACGAACCATCTTTCCGACCATGTTTGCTTTGTTTGGATGAAGCTTCTGTTTTATTATTTTCATGTCCACTTCTTCTGCCATCCATATAAATGAATTGCTCTGAAGGTGGTCTCCTACACACGGATAGGATTCCCATTTCCACTCCATTCCACTACGGGGGGATCAACAGCGTAAATAACAGATTTGCCCAACAAGCTGCAGAGAAAAGATCAAAGTTATGTATGCATTCTTGTTTGGATCAAAGTCTGCAAAGAAAGATTGAAAATTTACGAGAGAAAGAATCAAGATTCGCCACTCGACGTCCTGCTGCGACACTCAAAAACCGGGATCAACAGCTACAAGCAATTATTTGTTGCAATCTTTGATTTTGTAGTGTATCCTGGGAAGATGAGATTCAATTTTGACAGCAGGTATACAGCATGGTTGATGGACATTTCCTACAAGTGCATACAGCAGTAGGGGGAAGGATCAGCAGGGTATGAAAACCTATGTAAATCTGACGATGGCATGCAAATAACGAGGAAAACATTGGAAAAATCAAAGTCTGACGACAAAAATGGGAGACAAACTGAACACTGATTTATTCATAATGGGTCCACACACACATGCACAACCTGTCTTGAGCTAGCTCAAACGGGTGAGACCCCCATCCAGAAACTGGACCATCTTGTTTTAAGGTTTTGAAAATAAAAATAAAAATATCCGAGCCAAAATAATATTAAAAAGTTTAATCTGAATTCAGTTTTCGACTTGGCAGGGGTGGAAAGGGATGCAAGAAGCTGTAGGCGTGAATATTCGTGAGTAGGCGTCATTCTGTGTATTACGAGGCTACTGAATTCGACAACCCGTAATTATTGGTGGTGTTGTATGTATTGTCGTATTCTCAGTCATGCATTGTTCCCTTCTTTTTTTTACGTGTGCATATGTGGAGTGGATGGAAAAGTAAGTACAATACAATGCACGACCTGCTTCAGTAGAGGTGCATTTGCCACTTAACTCTTTATCAAAATTAGAAATTATTGCACCACGAAATCGTCCACCTCCATCCCTGTCTATCCGACTTTCTCATGACTTTACTTCAACTTCTCTCTTGATTTATTCTGATAAGATTCACCTTCTTTAAATTCATTACTCACCCCGTCCCACCCAACGAACGCAGTCGTCTTCTGCTCAAATGCAATGTGCTGGATATGTGGATGGTGGTATTAAAAAACGACTATTTCTTATACTCCTTCTCGGGGTGTGATTCGAAAACAAGAACCTTTTTGTTCATGAGATTTCCACAACTGGAATCTCACGTCCTATAAAATATTCCCATTACACATGTAAACCTAAAAACTCTTCAGAAACAACAAAAGAAAAGTAGTTGTGTGGTTTAGGTGTGTGCGGATAAAAGTTTTTTTTTTCTAAGGGGAAGACATGCTTCTTTTTTCTTGCCAACTAAATCATCCACAGATGAGAAATTTCTCTCTCTCTCTCTCTCTGAATAAGTACGTTTCACTTGATTCATCCTCAAGTTGGACGGGTTTTAACGAGTGACTGACAACTTGTATAACCACGATTCTCTCTCTGTCCAATGAGTTATGAAGTCTTTGTTCTGGCTGTCAACGCAAGGAAATGATAATAATATCCATGAAAGTGGGATTTTACGGAGACCTCTCGTATGGCATTTTACACCTAATTCTGCTCCAATTACGACACATACAGAAATTAATGAGAGGAGGAACAGGGTATCAACGCCTCAAATATATAACGTGCTAATTAGGTGAAGTTGTCATTTGTAAAACTTTTTCCGAAACACATTACTTACCGCGATGGGCACCAATTTAGGCACAGAAGCTTGATGACAAGAGTGACGACTGGGAGGAGGAGAAGGCGAAAAAAATCCGTAAGGAGAGAAGTTGAGAATTTAAGAACCCAGAGACAAATGCGTGGTGAAATTAGTGAAAAATGATCACTGGGAAGATTGCCAGCCGGAAAAGTGGAAGTTGAGAATCTCCAAGAAGAATTCTAAATACCTTCGTACGAGAGAGATATCATGAATCCATATGCATACCATGAACGACCATCTACCACAGATTGAGACAGTTCATCTCCTGCTTAAATTAGCAGGACGACTTTAAAGTTCATGGACCATTTGATTCTCTCCTTCTCTGTGGTTTATTAGGCTCGTCTTCTTCGTCACATATGGGTTTCACGATTTTCAGACTAATTGCTCATATCCTCGTGACAACTGCGAACAGCACAGGCCGTGACGATCCTCAATCTACACTTTCACGCCGTAATACGAAGAAGTATCTACTTTCTCCCAGCATTTTTTTCACGACATAGTTTTCCCAATCCTAAGTAACTGCTTATTAGGACTTTTAAACCTGGTTAAGTAAGAGGGGAGAACTACATCTTACGCATGTATTTAGCACGTAAATGTATGTACAATATGAGTAGAAGCGTGTCGTCAAGGGATGGGAGGAGAGGATGCATTTCATCTCAAAAAACATGTTCCTATCATGTGTTGAGAGAAATATTAACAACTTTACGAGGCACACATTCCGACGACGGGACAAATGGAGTGGATTCTGCTACTAATTAAGTGACAGCCTCCGCAGTTATGTTACGCGTCAGATTGCAACAAATTTCAACTTGATTTATGAGCTATTCAGACCGCTTCGTCAATTCCGAGTGATACTAATATCCATACTACACACATATGTACGTACATTTGTACCTACATAGTTCGTAGGACTCTGGTATGAATTTATGTAGTGTTATTATTATTCGTGGAAAAACTAGACCATGTGAAAAAGCTTGGTGGCATGGCTTTACCGTGCGTTTACATTTACTTACTCCGACAGCCAAAAGCTTTAGTGACGACGACGGAAACATCATCAACAATTTATGATGGAAACTGAGATCGTGAAAAAGATATTGTTCATTTCTACATATTCAAACCTTGGCGAAAAATACCGCTTTTTACATTTACTATCCCCGAAATCATCACAATCATACACAATTTATGGGCGAATGAGATATTCAGGCTGGAATTTCTTTACATGTGTATCCTCCTCTTATCTTACCATGTATGTTCAGTTGCCGCCGCAATAGTTTATTATCATGATGATACGATATGACAAGTTGTAAAAAAAATGTGCCTGTTTTTTTCAGAGTTTCAAATTTGTAAAAATTATTTGGAGCAAGTTGTTTAAGAGCTGGAATAAGTATGTAAATTATCGCTCCTTACGTAATCCCTTTGGACGCATAGATATGTATTTATGCGTTTTTCTTTACATCATGGTAGATCTCATTTTAAATGTGGAACCCCCACACCCACCAAACACCCGCACCGGAGGGAGGGCGACATTTACCACCTATCTAAAACATGGCCTGAAAAGAGAGAAGTAAAAAAACACCTCTTCTCTTGTCGCACAATAACGACATACACGATGATGCTGCTTGGTCTGGAACAAGATTTCCATGAAGTTTCCTGAAAAAATTGTGAGTTTGCTGTTCACAAGGAAAAGAAACAATGGGAGGAAAAAGACCCACCCTGATGATGCATGATGTAAGTCGTTGTTTGTTGGGAAATTTTTCTGGCCACAGTGGAGTGGTCACTCTCCTCATCACTGACTGACCTCTTTCTGCTGAATCATCTTATTGCATTTTATTCTCAAATTGTACCGGGGATCGGTTTTTGTTATACATTTTCACATTTTAATCTATTTTAATCCCTCGCTTCACTGACTTTGTACTTTCTTCTTTCTTTTACATACTTTGTCCGTCTCCAACTTTTATAATCAACCTTTTTTGTCGTCTCATCCAATCATAAAATATATAAAATTCCGTGAACATAATATTTTATTTTTACCCGATTTCGTTTTTCGTACTAATCTGAATCTGACCAAATAATAATTTGGTTTAAGTTAAATATTGACAATGTTGTTCAAACGTTGAAGTAATGGTAGGATTTCTGAGAAAAAAGTAACTTTTATATTTTCTTGTTAAAAAACCTAATTTTTAAAGCCCACGCTATGTGCATCTCATCATATGGATTATTCGGGGTAATTTTTCCTCATTAATTGGGAAAGTTTAATATGATTTTCAATACGATGTGATTAAAATGAGGAGATTGCAAATTTATTAAGTGTTACATCCAACGGATTGATGTGAACATGTGGATTAAGCAATTATTACCAAATGGTTCAAAATGATTTAAAATCGACAAAGTGATCACCAAATTAATATTAGTTCGCATGAAACAAATGCTTTTAAATGCATAATATGTTCTTAGATGAAATGCTTACAGAAAAGCCAGAAAATGCACAAATGTGCCATCTTTGAAACCCAAATCCCAACTGTAGCACAAAAACGGGTTTTTCATTGTTGCCTTACATGTGTTGTGCGTATGAATATGTATGAATTAAATGTGAGCAATCTTTGTCAGACTTAAAACACTTGAGTCATTTATATTAAGAGCAATATTTCATTTAATAAAATCCTGTGTATCTTAAAAACACATTACGAGTGTACAAAATATTGCTATCAAACCAACAATTAACGAGTTTCTATTATGCATGAAGGTAGCGATAGTATTTGATTACACAGTATAAAAATATTAAAGCATTGAAAAGTCTTAAATATATTGTAGTACTAATTAACATATGCGTTTGTTAAAATTTATGAAAGGCTGATGAGGGAGCTGCGTAACTACTGGTTTGGTTGACGCAACTGCACAGTTTGAGTGGCAATGCAGTACCAGATAAATTCTTCCGTATAAATGTCTAGAATAAGGAGAACAAAATGTGACCAAGTATTTCTCACAAGTAAAAATTAATTGTGATGGTGGAGACTTACTTATAACATGCGGTCGTCGAGCCGCTAGGAAGAAGTCCTGCATCAATGCATAGTCCTCGTGACTTGTGATAATAGCACTTCGCTTTGGAAATCGGGAAGAGTAATCTCTCATGTGACGAAGTGACTTTTGACTACGATCTACAGTTCCACCCGCAGATTCAATTATTCTTTCAACATCTCGCTTCAGCAGCCAAGGTCCCGGTGTGATGAAAAATGTTACACCCTGTAAAGTTCAGTATGACAAAGTTAATGTCAATGTTGCTATATATTTTTTAATTGATTAATTAACCACACACCTTAAACAAATACTGTCTCGCTGGCTTCGTCAGTACGTCAGCAATCGTTGTTTTGTATTGGGTTTCAAATTTAGTATGTGTAGTAATATAATCCATCTCGGGCACAAATTTTCCAGCCACCATGGACTCATAGATCCATCTAGTTGACACTATGAATTTGAATCGGCAAATGGCAAGGAACATCTTGGTTGTGATAAATTGATCTTTCAGGATTAGATGAGTAGCGTGAGTCCAATCTGAGGTTAAACTTCCTCCAAGTAATTCTATTTTCTCCTTTAACTGAACAAAAAAATAATAATGCTGTTAGAGTATGAGTAATTATTATACAAGTTCATAAATACATACTACAGATAATTGCACAAAAGAATAAAATACTTATTAATATCAACGTAATGTACCTTTTTCTTGAAGCAACGTGTAAAACCAGATGCCATGATTACTGGGGGCAATGATGACATTAGTGAGTATTGGAAAGGTGAAGCAGCTGTATTCTTGCTGCTAGGTTCCACCTTGTCTACAGACATTAAAGCCATTGACTCTTCTTTCTTTTCACTGCTGGTCGAATTATTGTCGGGTTTTTCGTTTTCCGTGAAAGGAGGTTGCGACGATGTGTTATCCGATACACCCATTTCCTCAATTTTTTCAGTTATCGCGTCAACTTTGGTTTCATCATTATTAACTTCGCCACCACTACCCGTGTACGGTACCAATTTCAGGTCATCTTCTGTGACACCTTCCTGTTTCTCTGGGTCTGATGGCTTTGTTTTCTCGAGATCCTTGACTGCTTCAACTTGGACATCCTTAATACTTTCAGAGCATACATCAGAGCGTGTTTCAGAGTTTTCAACAGTGCTCAATTCCATCGCAACGACTGCACTGGAAACAGGTGTTGGTGTCCCATCTTCAATTTTGGCAACAACAGCTTCGGGTAAAGTGTCAGGTTTATTTTCGACTTTCTCTTCATCACCGATGGATCGTGTCGGCGCAGCTGGTGACAGGGGCTCATTATCGATATCCAAAATATTTTCTTGTTGCACTGAAACCTCGCCATTGAAAACTGTGCCATTTTCCAATTTTAAGCGTTTGGCACCGAGACCATTGTCCAATTTATCTTCTGCAGCTCGTTTTCTAAAGTTTTCAACCGCCTCAACACTAACTCGAATAGGAATCTTCCAGCACGCTATATACATACATGAACAAATTATAAATCATTTAAAATGAGCCACTCTACCAAATCTATTGTTGGATTTTGTTCTGTTAAACCCATCCACTCACCCATCAATGGCGGAGCAAGTGCAAAGTCAAGGCGCAGAGGCTGATCAGGATTAAAACATTGATATTTGGGACTGTGTATCATTTGTAGAGCAGACGCGTGTCCCAAGAAAAGCTCAGCGATAAATTGTGTATTGACCACGGGAATTTTCCACTCGCGAGCTTTTTGATACTTTAATCCCTCCGGTCTAAAGGAAATACGTAGGCAAAACATTAATAAATTTATGAGCCATCAAATTATCCTACACACATCTATTTATGTATATCTTACTTGTTGCAAAGGAGAAAAGTGCTAAATTTGGAGAAGTATGAATTATATTTAGCACCCAGGAGCTTCATTACTGCTATTAATCTAGCTTTATCTTTCGGAAGGAAATTAGTCGTAGTAACAACTTGGTCGTTTAAAGGCAACGGTCGCCTGAAAATATTTTGATAATCGAATCATTAGTTAACAAACCTTGCCCAACACTACATACTAAACTATATAGACAACTATATACTCTTTCCATACCTAGGAAATAATGCAGGAAGGTGAAACGCTTGATAAGGGGGCACCATAATTTGCCTCTCAATCACATCATTCAACCAGAAGTTGGACACGATTCGCTTCCCCTCCCTGAGAACTTGAAGGTACTCTGGAAATCGTGAATGTTCCGCGACCACATGAGTGACGATGGAGGTGTAGTCCTTGACGATTTTTCCTCCGTACTTTATCACTGCCTCCTTCCAACCTGCGCCCGGCAGCTCTTCAAACTCCTCTGATGACCAAAATATGCAGCCCAAAAAGTATGCTGCAGGAGGGACTAAGAAAATAAATAAAAATCCAAAAAGTAATACTAGCATAGCCCCAAAAAATACTAAAATATTATGAACAGCTAAAATGGTATTAGGACTCACGTTTGACCTGAGGGTCATGTCCATTGTACTGAGGTCTCTGCGGAGGTGCTGGGAGTGTAGGGGACGACTGGGACGTGGTGGCTCGTGCAGCTCCAAAGCTATTCACCATCTATTTATTCATTATTGATTAATTAATTATCCATGAATCTGAAACTATTGCATTATAACTAATCTTAGTTTTTCCAACTAGTCTCTTATAATATAATTTAGCATTGAAATTCACCAAAGTTTAATCCCAATATTCAAGAGTTTCATTCATTCTAGTTTAAGCATGCTACACTTCTTAAGATTAACTATTATGCAATTTACTGTCAATGATATTGATAAATGTGAACTGTAATTATATGCTCTATTTACACTGAAAGTAAAGTTATACTCATGCTCCAACCTTACCTGAATCGGTGCTCCAGGCAGACACTCCTTAACGTTCCGATTAACCACCTGAATTGTTTTACATCCGTTAGTTAAGTTGACCAGGGTCCTTCGCTGTGCAAGGACAATGGACTGAGTTGTTGGCGGTGGTGGTGCAGAGTGTGGAAGGGATTGAGAGGTGACTGGTAGGGGAGGTGGAGGACACATCGCTTGTGTTGTCGTTGATGGCGCAGATGATGCAGATAATAATGCAGATGCGGAGGATGATGAAATGGGGGAAGTTGCATTACTCGACTCTGGCCCTGCATTCCCCTGAAGTCGATTGCTCAGCAAATTGGCCAAAGCCGTTTTTGTCTTGGAGTTTACCACCTGAACCTACCGTGGGTAAGAGATGGAGATATGCACCAATTGTGACCTTCTAATTTCTAACACAACCAAACTCAACAAAACTACGACTCACTCAAGATCAAGAAGAACGAAATAATAAGCTAACTGATTTTTAGATATGATTCAGCAATCCGCACGTCACACAAACTCAGAGAATAATAAACAGAGTCTATAATAATAATAAGATGAAATCAGTTTAAAAATCACTAACAAACTAATAAAAACCACACGATAAAAAATCACATGCAGCAGTGTGCCAGGCGAGGATGAGGCTTATCATTATTAGGTATTCAATTAATAGTACAATTCTAAATGCTGCGATAAAAGATAACTGAAATGTGACTAAAACTAATATTCATGTCATGCATCTGGTGCAGCACTAGGATTTGAATGCTTTCCCACACTGGATAACATTTATGCAATCCAGTGGATGCACTACAGACAGACAAATGACATGGATATTACTTACCAACGACAAAAACGTGTCAGTCAAAAAAGTAGTCGAAATAAAAATAATGAGTGGTATATAAAGAGAGAAAGAGAAAAAACTAAATAATCATTACTGCCTGTTCACATGCCCTAGAAAAAAATCTCTATTCCGGTGCACAACACAAGCGTTATTTGGACGGACGTAAAGGTAAAGTCACACGACAAGAAGGGTTAGAGAAGGAGGAGTCGAAGGGAGGGGGCGAGGTCAAAACACATCCAACAAACTCAGCATGCACAGAATAATTTTTCAACTGTAAAGCAAGGAATGGAAGGACTTACGTAGGATGGACCCCCAGGACTTTGTGGTGACTGTGACATGGGACGGACGTTCCAACTCTGAGGGGACGGACTGCCAGAAGAGTCCGTCGGAGTTCCTGGCACTCGAGGAGAAAACGGACTTTGGGAAGGACACGGGGTCGCGATTCTTTGCTGCGGTTGTGACCACTGATTGTTTTGCTGTTGTTGAACTACTTGCTGATGTTGTGGTAACATTGGGATTTTATTCTGAGTCTGCTGTTGTTGTTGGAGTTGTTGCATCCCTACTTGTTGCGGTCTTGCCTGTCCACCAGACTGGATCAAGACTTGATGAATGCGAACCTGACTTTGCTGTTGGGCTACTTGCGGAGTAAATATCTGCGTTCTAACGAGACCAGAGGGATTGGGACTTTGTTGGGGTGCACCTATCACTCCGTGACCTGGAAGCCGGTTGTGTACGGGGGCAGGAGTCAGGAATTTCTGCTGTTGTTGTTGGTTGTTGGGGGACATTTGTGAGTTGACCACCTTTTGTTGTTGTTGCTGTTGTTGCGAGACGATCAACTGTTGATGCTGGTGACTCTGAATGTTGACTACTCCTCCTTGATTTGGATGGGGGCTCATTATCGGGCTTTGTACTACTTTGTGACCATCTTGAGAATGTATAAGAATCTGTTGTTGTTGTTGCTGCTGTTGCCCCATGAGAGGTCCTTGATGAGGTGCTTGTTGCCCTGTTGGGGTAGTTGGACTAATAATTCCTCCTTGAGCTACCACAACAGGGTGATTTTGATGCATCTGTTGATTCTGTTGACCCATCAGTACGGGTTTGTCGCCAGGTTGTCCAACATTTTGAATAATGTGTTGTTGTTGCTGCTGCTGCTGTTGTAGTTGTTGTTGAGGATTACCCCCAGGTCCCTGCTGATTGGAAATTATTTGTGTTTGCTGCTGCTGCTGCAGTTGTGGGGTTTGCGACATGGGAAGCTGTCCTGGACCTGGAGGACCCCCCTGGGTCATGTGCTGTTGTCGCATCAACATATCACGCAAATGCTCTTCACGTTTCCTTTGAGATAACTTTTGCATTAATAATTGCCTCTGCGCTCCATCCATTCTGCTCCACTGGGCTCGAATTTGTGGGTCTGACTGGATATGCTGGAGAAGTTCCATTTGCTGTTGAGGAGTCCAAGTGAAGGTTTGTGGACGTGGCTGAAACTGAACCCTTTGTTGTTGTATTCCCCCTGGGATTTGCTGTTGCTGTTGTGGATGTAATTGTTGTTGCTGTTGTTGTTGTTGGCCATGTGGTAGCCCGCCTTGTTGTTGTTGTTGGCCATGTGGTAGCCCGCCTTGTTGTTGTTGTTGACCCTGTTGAAACTGTTGATGTGTTATGACGACACTGTAGTGTTGAGGGGGACCACCTTGTTGTTGCTGTTGAATCTGTTGTGGGGGTATCATTTGTCCCTGGGGATTCATGTGGGGTTGTTGTTGTTGTTGCTGTTGCTGCAACTGACCCTGTGGCAGTGGTCCCTGCTGCTGTCCTCCCGGTCCTTGTTGTTGCTGTTGTCCTGGCCCAAGGGGAGGTGACTGAAGTCTTATTTGTTGTTGTTGAAGTGGGTGAAACATTTGCATCTGTCCCTGTTGTGGTCCTTGCTGTTGTTGTCGATAGATTTGTTGTCCCATTACCATGGGTTGTGAGGTTTGAGGATTTTGGGTCTGAATGGTTTGAAACTGGCCACGATTTTGAATTTGACCCATCACAACTTGCGGCCTATTTCCACCAGGTTGTTGAGACTGTATAAATTGGAAATGGGTCTGCTGCTGATTTTGGGGTAGTTGTTGCTGCTGTGATTGTTGTGGAGATTGGAGAGATATTCGAACCTGCTGACCTTGTTGTTGTTGACCTTGCATTATGTGAGGGGGTCGTTGTTGTTGTTGCATTTGATTAAACTGTTGTTGTGGAATTTGAGGCTTGTTAGGTTGACATTGGAACTGCTGCTGCTGTTGTTGCATACCTTGAGACTGATATTGCATTTGCTGAAATTGATGCGGCGGCGGTCCTCCCTGCTGCTGCATTTGATGAGGGCCAACAGGACTCTGTTGTGGTCTTTGCTGCATCATTATTTGCTGTCCTTGTTGACCCTGTATCGTCTGCAATCCTTGCTGGTTTTGCATTATTTGTTGTTGACCTCCTTGCCCTTGGATCATTTGTGGGCCACCTGACGTTTGGATCATTTGTGGGCCACCGGGCGTTTGGATCATCTGATTTGGACCTTGAATTATTTGTTGTCCTCCAGGACTCTGAATCATCTGATTTTGGTTTTGCATAATCTGCTGACCTTGGATCATTTGTTGCCCGCCTGGACTTTGTATCATTTGCTGACCACCTGGACTTTGTATCATTTGCTGTCCCCCTGGACTTTGAATCATTTGTTGTCCGCCTGGACTTTGAATCATTTGCTGACCAACTGGACTTTGAATCATTTTCTGGCCACCAGGACTTTTAATAATCTGTTGCTGCTGTGCCATTTGTTGGTTGGTCATCATTGTTACTTGATTATGTCCTTGGTGAATTTGATGATTTGGTATTTGATTTTGTCCTGGAGATCCTTGCTGCATAACTATCTGACCAGCATTATTTTGGGGCTGGCCTTGAATCATCATTTGCTGTTGTCCAGTAGCTATTATCTGCCCGTGGTGCATTCCTTGAGGAGACGTAACCTGCATCGGGGATCCTGCCGGGTGCATAATATTGCCAGAGATTGACGATGGTGGATGAGATTGTTGACTCTGCAATTTTTGCATCACCGCTGACTGGCCTTGTTGAGGAGGAATTTGTTGTTGGTTGTTCTGATTAATTGTGTTTACGTTCATCTGTTGTAAAGGTGAAGTGATTTTTTGCATGGTGGATTGTTGACCAGGAGGGATCATGATCCCCGTCAAGGGCTGTTGAGGAGATTGTGGAGGGCCCATTGGTTGCGGTGTCATGGGTTGGCCCATGGGTTGACCTGGAATTTGAAACTGTTGCTTAATCTGTTGTTGCTGCTGCTGTGGTGAAGTTCCACCACCTTGCTGGTGAAGCATTTGATTTTGATTTCCTGGCGATGGTGGGGGATGAATTTGTCCTGTTGGACTTGAAACTCTGTGAAAATTATTACCCGGCACATTGGGATTGTGTAAGTTGTACTGAGAAGAATCTCCAACATGAAACTGCTGCTGCTGCTGGGATTGAATTTGTTGAGGCGTCTGAAATCTAATTCTTGGACCAGACTGGAGGTTAGGATTCCCCATCAAATTTACTTGAAGTGGTTGAGCTTGTGTTGTTAACTGATTTTGTAAAATTGTTGGCTGAGTAAGAACTCCACCCTGCGGTCGCATCATCGTATACTGATTGTATTGGGTGGTTGGCGTTGGTGTAGTAGTTGAAATAGGCACACCACCAGAAATTGTTGTCGGTGGTATTCTAGTTTCGAGAGGGACAGCGGTCGTCGTTGTGACAGCTTTAGGAACATTTTGAAGGGGTACTTTTGGTGCAAGAAGATGTGGCGGTACAGCTACTGAAGAATCGTGATTAATACTTTGTAATAACGTTGGATCAAAACGTGCTTCGTCGAGAAGAGTATTGCTATTAATACACTCAATAACCCAATCACTGCACACAATTTTTAACCCTTTGTCCAGTCCGAGTTGACGTTTGCTTCCCGAACAAGAATTTGTAATCACATGGGTGCACTTTGCAGTTAAATTTTTTCTAAACTCTCCCCCGTAGAATGAGAGTAGGGACCACAGTGTGCAGAGATCTTTGCCCCTTATTCCAGAAGCACAGGCAACAATGGAGGAGAATAATTTCTTGTGGTGACGTTCAAATCCATCAATTCTGCAAGTATACATTTACACCATAAAATAGTCATAAGCATGAGAAAGTATATTCCATCAACTAGCTTACGGAAGCTGCTTTCCGACTTGTGCGGACAAAATGACCCATTCCGGAGTGACGACGGGCAGTTCGAAAATGTCCTTGGCTTCATCAACCTTCATCTCATCAGCATCCGAGCCCGCCAGCATGTGGGTGGTAGCAACTCCGACATATGTCCGCTTTTTAGCACCGCCGCCCTCCAACAATGCGCTGACCTGAAGAAACGTATTATTAATAATTACGAATAACCGATTGCTCCATCAAAACTGGACGTGATACAATACAGCACTAATTAAGCCTGGCTTGTTCAGGCTTATCTATCATACATAACCACCGTACACATCATTTTAATCAAACATGCACAAATTTAAAATTAAGAATAAAGTTAAAATCACAATTTGTAATTCAAAGTGCAATTTCTCACCTTTCCATCCACATTTCCCGTGGTGCAAAACGCAACTTCAGAAAAGATTGGTGGGCCATTTGTCGAAACGATCAACGATTCGACATCAATGGGTAGATTTTTGCCAACTTTCGACACCATTTTCCTGACCTCTCTCTCCCTCCAGAACGGATTTCCACAAAGGAGTACACTCTCCAGAAACTGGAGTCTGCTCTGGACAGGAAAGCGACCTCAAAAGTTGAACATGACCTCACTTCATTTTGCACATGTATGTAGAACAATCCTTATCAAAGGCAAAAACAACAATTCAACCGTTTTAAAATCAAACTACAAAATCACAAAACAAAACAAATTACAAAAATTGTAGCTTCAAGATTTTCCGACCAAAAATTCAAGTCTTTCCTTGATGATGATCCAGCTCAGCTCTGGCTGCACAGGTGGCGGTGGCAGTGTTGGTGCTGCTTGCTGGTGTTTTCATAATTTCATGAAATTCTCAATTTTGGAAACACCAATATTTGTCTCTGAGTGGGTGTGGTGGGCATCAACGTGACTGTAGTATTCATGAACACTCTCAATTTTAATTATGCGATAAGGTTTATTATCGTGCAAGATATGTATGCTGATGCTGGTACAAATTGAGAAATATTTGCATATATCCACTTTCAATGTACATTATGCAATTTGACCTAAAACCTTAGATTTCAAAATTAATTGTAGACATGCATTTATCTGACGTCAAAATAAGTTTAAGAAAAATGAACAGAAAATACGCAGAGGATTTATCTATGTGAATATCAAAACTTTTTTTTTTCAGAAACAAAACTTTAATTCGTGCAATGAATAAGATAAATGTGTAATGTACTCATAAACTTTTATTTACATTTTTAAAATTCACAGATTTCTTACTACCACAGATGATATAGAATCATGACAATGGATCAATTTTTTAAGCATTGTATCATACCTGAACATATTTAGATATTAAGAATAAAACTATTTTAACAAGTTTGTATATACACAGATATTTATGAATTTCCAGTATATGTCACATTTTTTGCTTACTTTTTTTCTCTAGTTTTGGTATATATGGTTGCCATACTTTTTAATAAGCACACAATATTTAGTTCTGGGATAACAGTAAATTTCTCAGGTAATCCAGTTCCAAGTGAGTTTCGAGTAATTTTAATGCAAATACAATACAAGTGCAGCATGTGAGTTCAAACTATTTAAATGTTACAAAAATAATAAGTCAATTAATTTTGATAATGAGATGTAACGATCAAGTATATAGTTGTAAATTGTACATCCATAGAGCTATACAGTTTAACAGACACGGAGAAAAAGGTACACAAGTTGCAGAGTAGAGTTTTTCACAGAATGAATAGTAGTGTAAAGAGAGTAATGATTAATTAATTGTAAATATTATTAGTAATTAGTTAGTAAAGTAAACAATGGTGTGGTGGGTGGAGTTGATGCAAATAGTCAATATTCGCAAATGTGCATACATGGAAGGAGAGTTTAGTTTGATTTGTAGTCCAAGCGGATACACAGATACATACATAAATATGATGATGCTATTTATATATTATTACATCGAATAAGCGATGAGTTCTCTCTAGTTCGTTCAGGATGATATTTTTTTTAATTAGTTGAATGAATGGGTATTGATTGATGATACTGATTGTTGCTAACTAACTAGTACGAATAAATAGTTAGTAGTAGATATCGCTGATTCATACGAATTGGTTTCTTGTAGGATTTTTATATCTTCTTTTTCGTATTCTATTCACTTGTTATCGATAAGGGTTTGAAGTTGAAGGACGAGGGAACGGGCTATTTGTAAAATTAGTTTCCCATCATGACGTTCAGCCATTTCTGTGATTTAAAAATAATTAATTGGCATGATTAAGAATGAATAATTAGTGACTTTTTATGGATAGTTTGTACCATTGAAAAATTTGATTATGTCAGTAAAGTCCATCGAGTTGGCAAGAATGATATCTCTGTAATATGTGAGTAACGCCAATGCAAGGAAAAGGACATATTCTGATGATGCCAATTGTCTCGCAGCCCAAGTGGTTTCCCAAACCAGGAAGACATCGTCGTAACAAAATTCTGGAAAAAGAAGCACAGTAAAATTACGTAAGATGAATTTGAGTGTTTCGTTACGTAATAATGTGTTTCACTCACCTCGCTTAAAATCAAGAAGGAACCACCGATAACAAAAGTAGAAATGGGTGTAGTCTCCATTTTGACGGATAAGTGTGAACAAGTCATGATCCAAGATTTGTAAAAGAGATCTCTGTAATGAGGAAGACAAAGTTAGAGAAACCACGCATCTAAGGTTGCATGGAACTGGTGCCGGCGTATTAAAATCGTATTAATCGTATCATAATCTTATTAAACTTAACCATATTTGCAAAGTGAGCATCCATTGCACCCCCACCACTCGGAAAGTTGGCTGACATTCGCTCCATCAATTTTCGAAAGCAGCCATAAGCTAGGGCCTCATCGTCCAGAATGACGAGCAATGGGGCAGCTAGGTCACACATCCCTTGGACGTATCCCATCTCAATATTCTCCCAAACATAGCTATCAAGGACATAAAACACGTTGATTTTTCAGAAATTACGGATTATTTACATATTATGCATTTTAGAATAGTTTAGACTTACGTGCACATGACGTTCCTCAACTTTTCCAAATTACTTTCCGTAAAATACCAATAGTTCCGGTCACAGCGTTTGACATCCTTATCAATTCGGTGAATATTTAAACCAAACGTTTCCAGCAGCTCGTTAGAATAAACTCCTCCACGGGATGAGACGGGCGATGCTTCGCTGGACACGTCCGAATCGTCTCGCTCATGATGAGCATCATTATGATTTTCATTTGTTATATCGGGAGGCTTGGATTTTTCCTTGGTTGACGACCCCTTATTTGATACATCGTTCTGTTTTGCAGGTGTCGCAGGTGCTTCATTCTCTTCGAAAACCTGTTTTATTATTAAAATAGTGGTGATCAAAAAGGTCTTATGCAGCAAAAACTATGATGATTCACTTCATTGCTCTCGTGCGTCTCTAGTATGCAGGTAGGAGGATGTGGCTCTGAAATTGTCTCCTCAGACGACAGCTTTGCCAAGTTCATGGCCATTTGTTCCCGATCTCGCTGTCTTACGATGGCTTCAACTGCGAGCCATTCGGACATCCGGTCTTCATACTCACGTCTCAATTTATCTGGATCCTCCCCCTCAATTTTTCCAGAGAGCATGATAGGCCATAACTTTTTACGAAGGGGGTGTGCCATCCCACCGAAGTAGACGAGACGATAAATTTCCTTCATGTCGATGTTACCCGCCTCTTGGAGTTGTTTCCATTTCTCCTCCGTCAAACCACCACTGGCATCTACAAAGGATAATAAATACATATTTATTACATAAAGTTATGCATGATGTATATTTTAAGCCAAAGCTCTATTATTAGCTGGGATAGTCAAGTACCTTCGGGTACGTCGGATTTCACAATTTCGGAATGAACCAATCCCAGTAAGTGGGTTCTCACGGTTCGTAAGTGTCTACAGTGTGCTAACCAGCCGTAAAATGCCCTCGAGATTATTTGTTTTTTCATTGTCAGACACACGGTTTGAATGGGCTCTCTAAAAATAAAATGTTTTGCAAAAATTAAGTAAACATTTTTATTTTGCAGTTTAAATTATTCACCACAGAAAATATTCTAAATTTGTTTGTGTACCCTTGCTCTTGAATTGATGGCTGTTGATCCAAACTTCTCGACGACGAGGTGGATGACGTGGTTGAGATGGAGTGCAACGGGGTCGACCTGGGCGTGATGGGTGGGACGGCACTCTTCGGGGTTGATGGAGACGACTGCCAAACTGGGTACTCCAAGACATCGTCTATCGGTTTAAATACGTGGTCCTAATCGAGTCCACTATTTCAATAATAATTTATGTATGTATGTACCCTGAGGGAAAGCACTCCGGACGAAATTTGGATATACAATTCGGAAGACAAAGTCAGAAGCAGTTTGATCGGTCTCGGTCGTGGGAGCCTCCTCTTCAATTATGGTGGGAGTAGGTGGTTGTTCCTCCATCACGACTTGATCATGAAAGCGACTGCTCCCCTTCCTCTTCAATTTTGGAAAGACTTTCCCTGAAATTGCAAGCATTGCAGTTTTGGACCAAATTTCGGACACCGTTTCTGAATGTTTCAACATGCAAGGTATGTAGATGCAGAATAAATAATAATATAAAACTTTTAAATAGCTAAATTAGGAAAGCGCTTTGATCTTTGAAAAAGAAAGCAATAATAATAATGAATGTAAATATTTGCAATCACCTTTTCCCCTCTGTGACCACAGCGGAGGGTCCAGCATCCCATGAGGCAAGAGTCCATTTTCTAAGCAGGACAGAAATGCGAGGAGGTGACCACCTCGAGGGAAATGGATTGGGGGTCGCTGGACACCATCTTGCCCCACCAACACGATCCAATCACTTTCACTCCCCTGGTGACAATGGACATACACCGTCTCATGAACAGCCACGTTCAACGCGTGCTCCCAATAAATGCTAACAACCAAAGAAAAGAATAGAATAGAAATGACGCATGTACATCTTTATGCACGATTCTCAGCTAAATTACGAAATTCCGACAGAAATTCGGAATGTTTGCTTGCGCACATACTTTTTATCATGAGTATTATTGGCATCCGAACATCCGTTCATTAATTGATTCGGGGTCCACTTGAGATTCAGGGCGTCTCCATATTGATGAAGGCTTAGGTAACCTGCCAGCGGTTGTGTTCCCTCCTTCTGCATAAAGGAAAGGTTGCAAGGAATTATATTACTGAGGTTCATGTGTATTTATATTGTACACAAATTCTATGAAACTTTCACCACCACTCGTAAATAATAATATGCATCATTCATTTTCAAGGGCTACTTACAATGAATACTAAAACATTGTTTTTCCCGTAAAGCAGAGTGGACTTGCTATTTTGGTGCAGAGATTCCACATAGTCTTTGGAACGCATGTTGTCATCTGAATTGCTGAACCCTATGCTTCCTTTGTACTGCAAGAAGTTGAGGATTGCTCAATAAAAATTCATTATTATTGCTACAATTATATAGGTCGTGTCATACGTGTAAGCCGGGCCTTTTATGGGCAGGTGGAGAGGCTGGGGTAGGAAATTGTCCAGATGAGATTCTGTGTCGCTGCACTAATTCGTCGGCTGGGTGAGGAAAATTTACAAAAAATTAGGCGAATTATCACAAGATGAATCACATTACCCTTCTTACCTGGAGGATCTCTCCAGCAGTACTCACTCGTCCTCAACTTGGAAAAGTCCAACGCGCAAGGCCCAACTATACATGCACGATAAAATCAAGAGACGATATTACAAGTCAACAAAATTTCATAAAGGGCAAAAGACTCTCCACTTTAGATGTTGTTGTGCTTGGGACTGAATTCACTTTCTCCGGAGAAAGTGTGTCGTGCACAAAAAAGAGCTTTGGCAAATATATTGCATACTCACCCAACAGGGAGCTGAGGATTGACCCGTAATCTGGATCTGAGACCAGTGCGTCTTTTTCATAATATTTGCTACACCAAGTAATAACTCAAACATTAAGCAATATTATTTCAGACACCGATACATCATTTACTTATCTCACAAAACATACCTGCTATTCATAACAATGTAGTCTACAATTTTGGCCAACTGTTTCTCAATTAATGCCAACCTGATCCACAAATATTTCATGGACGCGACCGAGTTTTTCTTCTGCAAGGGTGGCTTCACTCCTAGTTTGGAGGCACTCTCACTTCCGGAAGATGAGCGCCTGTACATAGAATAAGGATCAGATTAGAGAAGGAGGAAAACCATGATGAATTACTCCCATCGTGCCCACCGACTAATCCCCATCCATCCATCAATCATAATTACGTACTTGTTTGGGTCGCAGTTTTCCACTTCAGCCACCAATTGAACAATCGTGGCAGCTGGGATTAAACAAACTTTGTATTAATTGTTCATTAAACTGAGTTTGAGCCATATGATTCCAATTAAATTAATTCGTTTTTACGTACCTGGTTGGCAACTTTTGGCAACTTTGTGTAACAGCGCAGCTGTCGAACTACTCTTGAACAAGCCGAGCGCCCGTCTTTTCAACCCGTGAGAGACACACGCTTCCACCGAAGCTGCAAATAATAAATCAAAATCATGAATAATATTTACCGAGAGATTAAAATACAGCCCGGCACGGCAAACATAAGTCGGCTCGTCGCAATACAAAAACAATATTGCAATTTATACGTGGCTTTGAGAATTTTAATCACGCCAATCTCCAACCATACATATATTATATTCCCATGAAAACTCACTTTCTCTCTCTCTCTCTTCTCACCTAAAACAAACTAAAGCTAAATCTGGTCTGGTTTCCACTTTCCCCAAGGCCATCCTTCCTTCTCTTACTTACTTTGTGTTGTTTCTGCGTGATTATGCATGAAATTCAGAAAATAACTTACAACAGAGTGACGTGATGCATCCACTATCTTCATGAACAAACTTTTTCGTCACAGCCTCCTCCATGATGGACTTTACCTTTGATGTAAAATACCATCGTTTAAATCAGCATCAAACGAGTTGCGAATTTTGGCCAGGCGAAAACACTCAAGGCCGAGATGGTGATGAAATATAAGTTGTACATACCTCCTTCTTCACGTTGCGAATCAGTTTCTCCTTATCTGATGAGAAGTATAAGATGTTACCATCACATCTTCAATTAAGATTCTTAATATACCACAATTATCACTAATTATATTACCTGTTGACGCAGACCCCATTCTCAACATTTGTCCTTAGATTATCTTCCTGACTGGGTGAGAGATCTTCTCAAAATTACGATATCTTTGTCCAGCAAAGGTTACAATGAAGTACGACTATTAACGGCTGCGGCCTGCCTGTCGGAGAAGAAAATATTGAAGAAATTACTAAATTGTCAGCCGTCTACTGTAGCAGAATGATTGCGAAGTAACAAAGTTTCCATGGACAATTTTCACCGTTGGTACACATTGCCCCAAAATGTGCTGATTATTATCAGTCTACTTTCCCCAGTAAACGCCACCACCACTGCCAATCCTTCAATCAACTTGCACCACCACCTCCCTGCTCGGTGTCAATTTCCCCACTGACACAAAATTCCCAACAACTTTCTCTCTACTTTAAGTAAGAAGATCGGAGGAACGGAGAAGCAGTGAGTGAGTGAGTGAGTGACAGAATTTCTAATGAATCCAGCCTACACGGTACGAGATCTGCTCCATGATGATCTACGACCGTCTACGGAGGCAATTTGAGAGAATTTTCCTCATCTCATCTTCATCACCATCACCGATTTCTCAACCTGATACAGATCCACAATAAATAACACAATATTGACGATGGTGACGATGATGAACAATTTTTACATAAAATATTATGCAATGCAAATCCGTATCTCTCTTTTGTATCGCGTACTCTTTTTTTATGCAGGTTTGTGATAAGAGGATAATAATAATGATGGAATTGCAACACAAGAAAAATAAATTGGAAATGTACTTACTCAAAGGTGCGGAGCCTGCTTCGACTGCTTCTTCTACTAGTATTTGATATGAAATAACCGACGACGAGGCAACAAATCACATTGAGATTGAGATCCAGCAGCTCACCACCAGGCTCCATTTCTTTTTACGGCTCGATTTAGCACTATCTTCTATCTACCCATCTTGTAATCTGGAACATTGTTCACCAGAACATGCCGCTTTATGGATAGGTATCGGAAAGACGTGGAGTTTGGGACAATGCCGAGAGGGAAAGCAGAGGGAATTACGGCAGAAAGAGAGACGCGGTGGATTTCACTCGGTCGGATTGATGTGATATTGACAATAAATAATTAAATAAACCTGTTACGACGACCAACAACACATGAGGAAGACGACAAACGACACTGTTTCTGCTCCTGCTGCTGATGCTCTGCGTTTTGTGTGCAGGTTGTTTAATGCTAAACCTTTAAGCGTATTGTAATGTGATCCGTTTCCTCTGGACAAATAGTAATGCAATATTTGCTGGATTTGTAGAGTCAGCCCAGGTGAGCAACAGATGTGAAATAAACATTTATTCAGCAGTCCAAAAAATGATCGATAATAAACCCGTCGTTCCCTTAGTAGTAGGACAAGTTGTAGAAATGCAAGTCTTGTTTTTTATCGTGATGATAATACCGTGGATCATCGATCGACGAAACTAACTAACTAACTAAACCACAGGACAGATGCAGTCTATAATATTTCCTGACTTGTAATAAAATTTGTGTCTACGATTAAAAAATATGGGTATAATCGCCCTAGTCTCAGAGAGTTACGTATGTATGTATGTCCGTATATACGTATATATGGGATGGACGAAAGTAAGTATGTAGCCCAGATTTAGGCACGATAATAAATACTACTGACAATTTTGTGAATTCCCTTCTTCCCTACACCCGGCCTGTTGTGTAGGCAGTCACTCAAATGTAATTCCTCGCGATACTTTCTCCACGCTCATTTCACCCATTATTCATTTTATCTCTTTTCCCCTCTGTCCACCCAATACGCTAATGACGATGATAACAGTCTCCTCCTGATGCAATAATCTGTTGCAAATAAGCTGTAAGCAAATAAGCTGTTGCAAACGACTTTCCAAGTTCATAACCTTGTTAATTATACTTAATTGCTGCAGCAAATGGCTCCGCATCTGCCGCTTCTGTTTTGGTATTTAATTAATACTGACTGACAAATGCCACATGGTTTGTTTGTAATACTGTACCCACTCCTGCAACAAACTGCACTATATGTACCTCTCTAAGTCCTACTAGGAATATATCCGTACATGTAAATATCTACCTACACCTTTGGAATTGTTTTTTACCGACGGAGAGAGAAAAAAAATAAGTTATATATCGACAGATGCAGAGATTTCGATGAGATCACACTGACTACAACCTGATTAGTTCTTATGCCGTGCAGTATGAACACTATACTGACTGCCTGCCCGACTGGATGGTTGGATTCGTGTGTGTGCAAAGGCAGGAGCAGGAGAGAGCAACAGCAGGAGTGGATGGGTAGGTTTGCTAGTGAAAGCAGTGGAGAAAGCGAGCATGTACGTATAGTAAAAGCAGCCGAGCAGGCAAAACCTTACGAGTCAGCCAAACCAAACCACTTGCTTTCCCCGGTCCCCTCTTCTACTTCGTCTAACTGCAAGTTCTACCAGCAGTCTGGTCGGTGAAGGCAGAAGGAAAACCCAGAGAACACTGAAGCAGAGAGAGTTTTAGAGAACAAACAAGTCAGGAGAGCGAGGAGGGTCGTCCACTAACTAATATTGCACATGCTGCCACCATTGCTGCGTTTTCCCCCACTTTCCATCATCTTCCCAGGCACGGGGAGCATTATTAAGCCTTCAAGGTTGTTGCATGTCACAGCAGTCACTTTACCCATTCGCCATTCTGAGCACGTCAAATCCTTCCCTGTCAAAGTACATTTACGACCTGTTAAACATTTATCAGATCGTCTATATTCAAGGGCCACACTTATCGAGAGAGAGAGAGAAAAAGAGATAGCGGAGAAGTGAGAGAGAGAGAGTTCAAAGTTGTAAGTAAGTGGACACTTGCTGTTATTCCAGTGATCCAATTTGGTCTCTCTCTCCCTCTTGTTTATTTGCAGAGGTAGTGCTAAATCAATATTGGGAGATGATGTCCCACTATTGGTACATGAATGCATGCATGGACATGTTTTTTAGCACAGCTCTCAATATTTGCCGTGTGTGTCCAAGCAAGCTGCTTTGCACTAAAGAGGAGGATCATGAACACGCATGCAGGCAGGATGAATGAAGTGGCAATGGTCTCTAAAAAGGCGATAGCAAAAAGAAGAATGTGCACATGGCTCATTGTTCTAGGACGAGCGACGTACTTATTTTAGACGAGGGCGATATGTGATATTGCTAAATATCATTGCAACCCCGTGTCTCCGTATATGTTGTATGTGGTCTCATTCACTATGATTCTGGAGGATCCGGATGAAATCTGGACCACAAAAGAGTATAAGCCATGTGTGGTGGTGGTGGTTGGTTGAGACTACAGCGGTATCCACATCCTCTTCCTCCCTACTTATTACTTATTATATGCCACGGATACCAATTGGGCGACGATAACAATTGTTTTCCTCTAGAATTTCAGAGTGAAATTTGAGTACACACAGTCTCTGCATGAATAGGAGAGCAGAATTATAATCCAACATCAACCAACTTTTAGCCACCATAATAAATAATAAATAATACAGCGTTTTCAGCTTTAATCTCATTTCATGTCACGACGACACGGCACGACAAATTCCACACAAGCTGCTTTCACCACCGCAACCTTTATCCAAAAAGGGGTTATTAATCACGGCCTATTCGTTTGAAACCCGATGATCATCCTCACATTTCGATTCAATCCATATTTCATCATCACAAAAAATAAAATGTTTTCTATCCGCGGATGGAGAAATAGTCAGGGAATGAAAATCTGTCTCAGGCAGCAGTCAGTCACATCAAATAGCACTCTACTTACTTTCCCAACGACCAAGGCAAAATGGAATTGGACTCCCTGTCAAGAGGCGACCAGGCGCCGTGTATGTACGGCCGTATTTATTCTCTGATGGGAGATATGTGATCATCCTCGCAGATGTCTGTGTCGTTTCAATGCTCTCTATTGCACATAGTATTTGGCATGTAATGACAACCCAACCAACCAAAACCCTGTCATAAAAGCTGGCTGTCTCTCTTTCTCCCTACTTTTCCACTTATTCCTGAATACGGAGATTTAGTGTGTGCCTTCGCTACATTCTTCTTCATCTATCTGTGACCACTATGTATGGATGGAAAAGTGGAGCATCAACATTAAGCAAGACGATGTATGTACAGGAAAAATGCGAAGGCATGGCTGGATGAATGATAAAGAGGAGATCAGCACCACTCTACAGGTTGTTTATCTCTAAAACCTTTTTATTCATCAGCAACAACAAGACACACGGACTGCCTGCACATCCAAGTATCCAGATAATGAAAGGAATCTGTCAATAGTTACGGATTATGATGATCATATGAAGCGTGTCTTCATATTATGATTAGGACATCACTCGTCTTCCTGTCTCAACAACTCGTCTCATATTACTTGTTTACCACACTAAATTAACTCCTCGAATTAATACGGAGACGACGACGACGACGAAAACAAAGTTGTCAAGGGAAAGTCGTCTCTCTCTCTTTCTTGTTCTTTCCTAAGAAAGCCTGTCATGCAATCTTGTAAGACAGCCTTGAAATTACAAACCTCTTCCTCTATTCTTCCACGCAATCATCATTTTCAATTTGTCTCGTGTGTGTGCACTACAAAGTAATAAGACGAGAGCAGAGCCACGAGCAAAACATATTATGCGACGACCATCTTTATGTATTCAACTATTTCCTTTCGCACGAGGATACAAAACCAGCTCACAATTTTGTGTGTAAGAATTTAGAACAATATTGTCTCATCGTCATCATCACCAACCACCATATGTCTGTCTCATAAGTAGACAAAGTTACAGACATTCAGACAATTTATTTTCCATGGCTTTCACTCCTTTTCGGCATCTCGGAGTAAATTTTTTTCTTCATTAACGTCATCCAGACGAGAAAAAAGACCTATTTATTTCATCCATATTGAGAAACTTGGTGGTGGTAAGTGAGAAATGTAGGCAAAGTGAAAGAAAAACGAATACACGTTTGAATAATAATGAATAGTTGGGAAAGATACTTCGTTTAAATAGTTTCTCTTCCTTACCATCGTAGATCCAATTTATTATTAACCACGCCAAATTAAACTAAACTATACACCTAAAAGTTTATACTTTGCACCAGAGAATGGATGAAATTGGAGAGGAGCAGAGTAAACACAACTTTTTGTCTTCTTTTTCAGTCTGCCAGGCAAAATTAATTACAAGACCAGGGGACCAGAAAATGATTAGTGCGTTGATTCCGCATCATGTCTTCTCATCCTCGTCCTCCTCGTCGTGCACTAATTGGATGATATATGAGCAAGTGAAAGAGGGAGAAAGTTTCCAAAGTAAGAACTACTAGACCGAAAGTAGCAAAAAAAGTGCTGGAATGTAGAAGAGAAGACTAAAATCATCATCATCATCTGGTTAATGGAGGAGGAATTTTGAAACCTACAGACTAATTTCTGGGAAATTAAGTAAAGAACATACTTTAACCAAACCCAGATTAATATTTATGACGAGTCTTCACCATTCATTATTAAGTATTATTACATTCCGCAAAAGTAATTATTTACGATGAAGGGATCAATTTTGAGTTTGCTCTAAAATAATAAAATCTACTTACATATTTACTTGCGTAACGAGATCCTCCTTATTACTTTGATGATTGCTATGCTGATGCTCGACCAAAATTCTAGTCTCACTTTGACTCAGGATCAGTTATTAGATGATGATGATGAGACTTTCATCAGGAGAGTCTCAACATGATGATGAGAAAATCGTCGAAAGTGGTGGTGAGCAAAAGCCGGCAGAAACGATCAACCCAGAGCAGCCTACACGACTTTTCAACAAGAAAGAAGAAATCATTTTTAGTAGAGTAGAAGAAATTTGGAAAAATATTCTACAACGCAGTTCCTACATTAATTTCATAATTTTAATTTGAAATCTAGAATTCATCTGCGAAGGTAAATATTTATCCATCATATCCAAGTATCCATCGATAAATTACAAATTACTTTATTTACATTTAGTTATTTTCATTTAAGATGCATCGCACATTTTGGAAGTATGGCCGCTGGATTGGATATGCAGCTGGGGCAGTGACCGCGACCTCGATGACGGTCGTGGTATCACAGTGTTCCACGTCGAATTGGTCCCCCACAAACCCCTCGGCCGTTCCAGATGCCGGGTTTCCGAAGTGGGATTTTAATTGGGACAAGTAAGTATATAAGCTAGATTATAGGCTAGTTGTTAAATTATTTAATTGGAATAATTGCATCTCATAGGAGGGAACCATACAGTTTAGTGAAACCTCCGAAGAAGACGAAACGTGACGTGGACCCGGCAGAAGAAGAGAACAAGGTGGCGGAACAATTGGAAAAGAAAAAGTCCAAAGTTATCCGTCACATTATCCTCATTCGACACGGGCAATATAATCTGAAGGGGTCATGTGACGATGAGAGAAGTCTGAGCCAGTTGGGTATCGAACAAGCCGAATTGACGGGAAATAGACTGAAAAACTCGGGCGTTACGTTTACCTCTTTGCTCACGTCGAACATGTGCAGAGCGATACAGACGTCGGAAATTGTGCTCAAGCATTTGGGTCAAAAAGGTCTCGAAATATTGGCAAAGGATCCCATGTTACGAGAAGGAGCACCATGCCTTCCAGAGCCCCCAGTTTCCAGTTGGCATCCCGACTTGCACGTAAAAACAGCAAAATATAAAGACGTTGTGTCGATCTGTATCTCTTGATGCAATACATTATTATTAAATATTAGCATTTACATTGTGTTTAATATGCAGCAGTATTTTGAAGATGGGGCAAGGATCGAGGCAGCTTTTAGAAAATATTTTCATCGAGCACATCCAGATCAAAAGGAGGACTCGTACGAGCTCATCGTGTGTCATGCTAATGTTATTCGATACTTTGTTTGCAGGTACATAAATATGAATTAACTCTCATCATCATAGTAATTAAGACGTGTAATAGCGATTGATTGAATTATGCAAGCGTATATCACAAAGTTGACATTTTGAAATGGTTATTATGTGTAATTATTATTCATATCATAATTTTTTACAGGGCAATGCAGTTTCCACCAGAAGCTTGGCTAAGGATAAGCCTGAACCACACGAGTTTAACAATGTTAAGTATACTTCCGTCAGGAAGAGTTATTCTCCGCAGTCTTGGGGACAGTGGGCACTTGCCTGCAGATAAGATGACGACTTCGTAAATATATAAATTTTAGTTAGGGGACAAAAGCTAAAATCATCAGGGACGAGAAAGTTTCAGTTTACGTTGATGACGATGATGATGACAATGTTACACAAACAACAAACCATGTCAATTGTTACCATATATCCTTCTATCGACAATTTTGTAATTTTGCATGACTAGTAAACTGGAACATTAGAGATGGATATTGTTGTTGAGAATATTTATTATTTCAACATTTTTTCAATCATTAATACGTATATATTATTACAGGAAAAGCGAAGACTTTTCTTTTTAGAATATTCAACAGTACACGATAGCAGAAGCATTTAAAGATCACTCACCAACATTAGTTTATAACAATGAACAAGTTTCACCATAACATTAAGGTCCAGTTTTTAAAGGGGTCTGGGGCTCTGTTACATGGTCAGTTTAGCATGTTGTATATGCTACCTTAAAGCACTCACTCAATGCAAAAAGCATGCAAAGCGAAAAGTCAGCAAATGTCATTTTGCAGTAGCAGGTGTGCACAAGAACAAGTTTCAAGGAACAAACTGGTCTCTTTTTTCTATTATCTATGTATGTACGTGTTATTATTTGTATCATCTAAATTTGTAACTGATCGCCCGCAGTTTCAGTAGATCCCCGGACGTCATTGTCTTCAGGTTCGGATTCGTCAGGATCCGGTTCTCCCAACGCTCGGACAAATTCTGGACACAAAATGTGTAAAATATTCACGTATGCATCATTACACAAAATTTGGTGGCATTTTCTATATGTAAATACCGTTGAAATCAATTCTGCCATCCCCATCTACATCAACTTCCTTTATCATGTCTTCGATTTCGTCCTCGCTTAGGTCCTCTCCAAGACAATGTAACACTGCTCGTAGGTCGGATGCGCTAATGAAACCTCGTGAATGCTTATCGAAAATCTGGACAATACCACAAAACACGATAGAATTTCCAACCAAACAATTATCTCGACCATTACTTTGTAGCTACAGTATTTTTGCTTACTCTGAAAGCATCCCGAAGTTCTTGCTCTTCGTCAGGTTTTTCACCAGTATTGCCAGAGTAATTGGACACAATTTCGACAAACTCGTCCAAACTGAATAGCCCATCACCATTGATGTCCACCTAAAGCATAGTTATCAAATCCTCATTTTACTATGTCTGCATTTTGTTTGACTACGAAAAGAACCAACCTCTTTGAGCATTTCTTTTAGTTCGTCTTCCGAAGCAAACTGACCCAACGATCTCATAACAATTCCCAGCTCTTCAGAGGTGATAAATCCATCACCATCCTGTATTTCATGTTTTGATTAGTATCACTATTATTATCAAACTACTAAATAAAAAAATTATTCGACACAAAAAAACGTACCTTATCAAAGAAGCCGAATGCTTCCCGAAACTCTGGCCAAAAAAAGATTACATAAATAATATGACGCTTGATACATATAAAACCATGAACAATGGAAGGATAAGTTATCAATTGCGTCAATGCATACATACCTTTCATCTGTGTCTTGCTAATATTTGCTGAGCAAATTTTGATCGAGTCCAAGGACTGCTTAATATTTCCTAATTCTAAGTCCCCTTGCTGCTCCTGCATTCTCGAAGGCGAAGGGCTGTCCATAAATGAGGACGTAGAATTTTCACCACCAGGAGAAGCGATTGGACACTTTGCAGGGCTTCCGGGCGGCACAAAACCGTCCGACCTGTTACCTCCGAGACCTGAAACGATTGGCGAATGGCCCTGAGAAAAGTGGATTTGCATAAATTATTACAACTTGCGTCACCATATTTGCTATTTGTAGATTACACACCAAGTCGGTGATCCACCGCCGAATGTTAGTGAGAGGTTGTCTGAATTTATCTCGATAAGCACACATCACATAACTAACTTCTTCCTCTGCAAGTCTGGAGTTTGTCCGCCTCAATTATATTACTCAATCCAGCCGACAGAACAATCTTGATTTATCCTCCTAACTCTGGAATTGATAAGGTGACCATGTAATTATTTATGTATCTAAGATAAGGAATTGCATTTTAAAAATCTTGCATGATAAGCCACAACATAACAATGCAATTAGTCTTTTCCACAAAAGTCTCGACTTTCCCCACGTGAAAAAAAAGTATTCAGAATAACTTTCTCTTTTGCATAATGGAATCGTACATTTGTACACGAGCAAGTCGAACTTCTCTCGATTTACATATGTACTTCCATGAAAATATCGCCATAATTTCACTACCTATAGTGTCAAACTCGTATGAATACACACATTTGACTCGATTACGTGGGAACAAAAATCTATATGGTACGGATTCATATGCAAATTAAGCTAAGTTACACCTCCAATCAAACCAGTGCTGCTTATAGAAAAATAAATAACGCAGGTAGACAAGCAGGTAGAAAATGAGGAGAGATAATTATATATACCGTAAAAATTTCAAAGTAGGACACACACCACGAAACGTGACGACGATCAGATCACCTTTCCTCCACCTTTTCCGTTCCTTATCTCGAGATGGAATGAAATCAGAGGAGAACTTTCACCAGGCTAAGTATGTATGCAACTGACGAGGAGGATCCCAAGTGACAACCAATGCGCTCCTCTTCTCCTTTTAGTCCCACTCCTCCTACGTGGACTAATAAGTAACAAGTAAATAACGAGACCGTGTCGTCGTACGTATGTATCTCTTGTCAACCCACCATCACCACCACCTCCACCAGTTCAAGAAGAAGTCGTGGAATAAATCATGACTGGAACTTTCCCAACTAGACTTTTCAAGGGAGAAAGTCAGTCACAGGTGGTGGATTTATTTATTCGCCCCTTCCTTCGCCCTGTATATAATAACTTTGTATACATATATGTGTGAAAATGGGTTTAAATAGCAGTCTGAGATGTGCAAGGATCGATCGCATCACACTTTCGCCAACGAAGAAGAGAAGAGCTCAGAATCCGTCCGTCCGGGTACTTGAAGCATGTTCATTCTGTGTATGGAAATGCCGTTAGTTGCAAGTCCACATTTTTCCACACACCACACCACCATTCCTTCGGCCCTTGTGGTGGTGGTGATGGTGGTGACTTTCACTCGGGGTATATGTACATACGTAAATACATAGTGCTCTCTTAGCTTACCTGACTTTCTCCACTCGCTGAGACTCACTCTGAGCGAGTGAGTGAGCGAGATTTCGACTTTCCCCACATTCCGAATCACTGTCGACTGTAATATGATCAGAAAATTCCTTACATTTGTATGCATTACCATACTCTTTATGTAGGCAGGCAAGTGGAGACCTTTTTATTATACGTAAAGGGAAAGCGTATCTAGAAAAGAAGATGTACGATGATGATGATGAATTCCGCAGCAGTGAAATCATAGCACTGTGATGATTTCACTTGAAATGCTGTTTTTCGATGAAAGAGAGACCAGACCAGAGATTCTCTGTTGGCACGTGTGCCTAAATTCAGGAGAAATGTATTTGACGTCTGAATTTGTGCATGGTCAGCATGCATGCTAAATGTGATGACGGCGAGGATTCTGGCTTCTTTATTTCTGTCATAAATGTTTACCACTTTCACCCAAGTAAATAAGCATACACATGTTTTGTATGTATACCAAGAAAAAAGAGAGCCATTTCCATCATTTCCAATAACATTTATTCGTACATGCACTTCATTCGAATTATTCCACAAACTAAAAAGACGAGTAGTAAACGATAGACACTGGTTAGTATTTTCATTTCCGAATTATACAGTAGCAATGATGATGATGAATTGGTTAATCGGTGGCGAAATAAGGGGTCTCTGGCCGTGAAAGAATAAAACTCCTTTTTCCTCTCTCATGTATAAGCAATGATGCAAATAGTTTAGATGTAGATCAAGGTTTTTTAGCTGCCTATGATCCCAAAAAACAACTCAAAAGGCAGATTTACACAAGAACTCATAGTAGTAGCAGTAGTAGCAAAAATTAATAAAGGTAACATTATCACAATGTTGGGAAAATTTAATGCCGTAATTGATGATTCAGCAGCGCATATTCATCAACCATACACACGAACGACACACACGTCGATCTTCTTGCGTGGTCATCAACAGCAGCGTCATCATCACCACTACATTTCACAGTATGTAAATAATTGACCCCCACTTTTTTTAGAGGTTGGAGCGGTGGTGGTGGTGATGCTGATGAGTTCTTGCTTTTTCTTTTACATACTCTATTAAACCTTTTTCAAACACTCAGCAGCAGATATTGGATTTTGAAATTCATCTTTTTTTGTTTTGTAAATGTCCAAGACATAAAAAAACTGTGTGTGTGTTTTTTTGTTTTGTACGAACAATTCCCTCATGTCGCGATTGCATTATTGTAAAACTTGAGTCAGTGTGTTGACGCTAGTTTAAATAACCATGAATCATTTTGTAGAGTAGGAGTAGTATTTAGTAGTGTAATTGCATATATGGTCTCTATATAGTACGCGTGATTTTTTTAAATAGTAAACAGTGTAACACAACGGGAGTTATTATTCATACTAATACTACGACTGTGTGTAATAGTTAGCTAATTTAACTGGCAATAGTCGAAGAGAATATCTTCTATTTAATATGTAGATAATAAACTTTGTAGTTAATTGTAAATATCTGTTTGGAGGCTTGCCTAAGAGTAGTATTTAGTATGTATTGTTTGCAGCATGCATATCATATAAGAACTGCTTCATCATCAAAGTCATTACTAGAGTCAAAAATTTAACTATGTACATTAGTCCTTACTTACATACACATATGCTAACGTATAGATTACACAATCTTCGTCTTCTTCTTGTGATTTAATTAATTTGTCTACAATACAGCAGAAAGAGGAAATACCTCTCCACCTCTCTTTCTGAGGTATATGAACGTATTCTTCTAGAAATAGAAAAGGATGGGGGGGATGGGGCGTAGCATAATGTAATTATAATTCATACAGGAAATAAAGTCAAGCCCCCCGAGGAGGATGAACTACTTTTCGTCCTCACATGCAGCATCCTCAGGGTGGTGGGAGAGTCTTTCTGTTTTAGGTGGTGGCGGCAGCGGTGGCTGGTGAAGAGACGGGGACGGGGGGGTCACCCTTCTTCTGCAAGTTCTCCTCTCGGGGCCTCGCTCCACCAAAAATGGATGAACTCTGGCTCCCCGCCGCGACAGCGTTGATGGGGTCAGGGACTGATCTCGGAAGAAGTTTTAGTTTGGGGCGTGCAGCTAGCTCCTCTGAAATAGAGCAAAATCCAACAAAATTCATAACATGGGTGCTACCAGAGCAAGAGTGAAGGTGCTAAGGTCCACGCGTGGTTAAGAGCACTGAATTACTACCCCTCCTCGATAACTCCTCCCTTCCTCTCAGATAAAGTGTGTGCCCACTAAAATGGGTTAAATTGTATCTGCTTTCTGTGTTTAACTATTCAAATGATACCAAAAGTGCTCGTCTTCCAAGAGAGATAATTGTTTCCGGTTTCCAGGAATAAGAAAAAAAGTTGGAAACGTAATAACTGTGTGATTGATTGAGGACCTATATAAACGGAAAAGTAAAGTGGACACGGCAATCGAAAATGATAACTTACCAGGGGTGGGTTCCTTAAAATCCTCGCTAACCGATGTCCTCGATCTCTCAGAATCTCGTCGGGGACGTGGAGCAGGGTAACCTTGTCCTCCACCACCACCACCGCCTCCTCCTCCTCCTCTGGGTTCATCATTGTACGGCCTGGATATTCTATCATGAGGAGGGTGACCATAATTATTTCCTGTTCTTCCACCCCCACCACCACTTCCTCTTGGACCATACCCTCCACCACCAATTCCACCACCTCCTCCTCCTCCCCTGTTTCCTCTGTAGTTATTGTAACCCCCATATTGGTCTTCATGCATGGGCGCTTGGTTAGGATAACCTCCTCCCCCTCTATTATACCCTCCCCCTCCTCCACCCCCACCTTGGTTATTGTAGGATGGAGGTCCCCCTCGAGACATTCCGCCGCCGCCACCTCCTCGACCCCTAAACCTATCCTGATTTTGACCACCAGCACGGTCATTCTTTCTTCCCTCTGCAATGTCCACCTACGCAATTTCACATGTTCAGAATAAATATCATAACCCGGCGAGTAATTTCAAAAATACTGATAAATAATTAACTAAAAATACAAATATTCGGGTATCCTCACTTTAATAAGTTGTCCATCAATGATGGAGCCGTCATACTGTAAAGCCTTTTCTAATGTTTCGCTGTCTTCGAATTCCACGTAACAGAATCCTTTAAATCTCTCAGTCTCCCTGTCATATACGAGTCGGATGGACCGAGTCTGTAATTACAAAATATTTCGAATGTTTTGTTAATTGAATAAATTTTATCAAAATTTTAATATGTAAAATCATTTATTGGGCGTATTTTTCAATATTGCTGCAGTGTACGCAACGTGTCACCACGCACTTGATGAAGAAAGTATAATCAACAACTTCTTCGTGTAAGTACAAATTGCTTTTATAATCAGGTAGTTTAGTGTAAAATACACAATATAAAAAATCGTAAATTTTTGAAATTTTTTTAAAACAAAATTTTTTTTTAAATAGTCACTTCCTGGTTGACCACTATAACACATAAAAGTAGTGCACTATAAAAGTAATGCAAAACTCGCTAATTTGATTATATTCCGACTTGCCGGCACACTCATATTTGCACAAGGGTTGGGTGTAATGTTTTTCAAAGCCGGCATGCTGGATTATCCACAGGATGCCGGTCGGCATTATAATAACCCACACCCAACCGGCCGACGCGGCTTCCGGACCATTCCGCGTCCTTTCCTCAACTACTCCACCCCCGAAGAAATGGTAAATAACTTAGTTACGAGTCGTACTTTGAGGCCAGAGAAGAGTTTGTCAATATCCCCTTGGACCACCTTGAGGGGGAGATTTCCTACATAGGCAACGAAAGGACCTTGTCTATTGTCCATTCCCATCGTTCTTTGACCGCCACCGCCACCTCCGCCATAATTATTCCTTTGACGAGGTCCAAAGTCCCTGAAAACCAGGGTAAAGTCTCGTCAGTTTAAAAGTAAAAAAGTATAAGAAAAAAAATTCGGACGAGAAGAGATTTCAAACCCCGGGGGGACGCGTGGGGGATCACTCCCCTATAAAAACCCACCTTACTCCAGACATTCCTTAGAACAAAGTGCAACCTGAAATTGATTCCCACAAAGGGGGTAAATTTTGTAGATTTTATTTAAAATTGTGTAAAACACGGTTTGTGAGTTCTTCCTTTCCCTTGGAGGAGACCCACACTACTATAGTCAAATATCCTGCTCGCTTTGCTTGAGCATGGTTTAACTCCTGGCTACGTCTTCCGAACTCCGGGAGACATGTTGGTTAGTAGGCTGACAGCAGATGGAACACTCACCAAGAATAGAACACGTTGCCCCAAAACCGGCCATGGAATCCTCAGCCTCCGTAATTGTACAGCTTTTATTTTTACACATTGTCCAGCAAAATGTGGATGAAAATGACCTGAAATGGTACAAGAAGCGCTTAGGTTTCCAGAAATGAACGCTCGTCCACCTGCGTCGCCCCCATTTTACGCGTAATTGGAACTGAGACGCCAGGAGGAGCCCGAACTCACTGGAATCTTGACCACGCATTTGCATCTTCAGTGATGCTGCATGAGATGATAAATTGAGTTGTATTTTCTTGCTGATTTGTTTCAAATTTCAAAATTAATGTGTCTAAATTAATCATGATTTCATGAATCATTAATAAAAAGATGACTCGAACTGTGTATTATATTTTCGCACATATATTCTTGTCCCTGGAAGATTTATGTTATCTTAAGACTTTATTTTTTTTCAAGGAAATACGATGTTAGTACATTATCTCCACGAATTCAAATTCGTTATTTAATGTAATATTCCTAATTTGATTAAAATTCTGATTATTCTCCAAATTGGCTTTATATTATAATGTCGTCGTCGCCTGGAGTAAAATTTTGGAACATGAAATACTGACTAAATATATCAATGACAGTTTTATGACATACATAATGTTCAGTTTTCATTTGTAGCAAATGTTTTTATATATTTAAAACCAAATAGGGAAACTTTGACATCAATTACCATTGATCGCTGGCCATATGAGGTCGGACCAAGCAGTATTTCATGTCGAAAAAAATTCCTATTGCTTCAAGTGCGAAGCCATAGAGCAGTCGAGTGAGGGAAGTAAATGGTATTTACTATCAGATCGCTACTTTACAGATCGATATAGTATTAGTAATCAATCTGTAGAAAAATCGTAGCCAGTTGATTAGTTAACTAATATTTTTAAAAGTTTCACACATAAATTTCTTACTTATCGTGGGTGCTCCCAAGTGCATAAAATGTTGGCGGAGGAGGACGGTTACGCCGAGATAAGCGAACTTCCCCCGGAAGTGCTCAAAGCCATTGAACAGGTTAGTTATTTATTATTGCTTCCAACAAAATTACTCGTAAATTACGGGTCGTGATAAGTTATCATTTATATCAACATACTAATAAATTATAATTATATTTTGTTTAATACTTGAAGGTGCTTCCCAGCGATGACCCTTTAGATCAATCCTCTTTCGACGTAGTTCAACACATCAATGCGCTTTTTCCCACGGAACAATCCCTCTCCACGTTGCACGAGGTTATCCATTCCGTTGAGGAGCAGATTGTTGGTGTAGATCAGGAGATTCGTGGTTTTGTGAGACAACAGACGGGACGCGGAGGTCAAAATGGGGTCACTGCGCTTGCCCGAGCTCAAGCCTCCATCGAGTCTCTCGTGACCAAGGTGCTTGACATGAAGGGTCGAGCAGAACAAAGCGAGGCGGCAGTGAGGGACATGACACGCGACATTCGACAGTTGGACACGGCAAAAAAGAATCTCACTTCCGCCATCACGACGCTTAATCATCTCAACATGCTTGTTTCGGGAGTGGACACGTTGCAGTAATTAAATTTAACATTAATAGTTACATAATAATTAATTTATGTGGAAAGAGATGAGATTGAAATTTGTTAATTTGTTAAAATTAGGACACTGGTGAAAACAAGACAGTATGGAGACGTGGCCAACCTACTGCAAGGAGTTGCAAATGTGGTTGAACATTTCAATGATTATCACAACATTCCTCAAATTTCACAGTTGGCCCAAAAGGTGGGGAATTGCTTTTTGCGTTTAATTGTAAACTTTTTTGATGGTTTAAATGATATGAAGTAATATTGTATAATATATTTTATTAGGTTAAAGATATCAAAAAAGAATTGGGTGAACAAATCAGTTTGGAGTTCCGAGAGTCGTTCTCTACATCGACAGGAAGCCTGTATGTCAAACAGATGAAGGAGGCTTGTTTGGTGCTAGATGTTCTGGAACCACATGTAAAACATGATTTATTGACTTGGTTCGTTTCCCTGCAATTGACCGAGTATGGCGTCCTCTTTGACGAAAATGATGATTTGGCCTGGTTAGATAAGGTATCAACTAATTAAAAGTGCAAATTTTAAATGTTGATATAGTTTATAAATATAAATTTGATCATGTTTAATTCCAGATTGACAAGCGATACACTTGGCTGAAGAAACATTTAATTCAGTTTGAAGAACGGTACGCGTCTATATTTCCAACTTATTGGGATGTGTCTCAGCGTATCGCGACGCAATTTTGTCACCAAACACGACAGGATTTGACCAAAGTTATGGGGAAACGACGAAATGAAATTAACGTCAAATTACTTCTCAGTGCTATTCAAAAGACATGCTCATTTGAGAACCTTCTATTTTTACGATTCCGGGGGTACATGTTTGAGGGTAGTGATGAAGATTCGACCAATCCATTCCTTTCCCCGACGACGGCAGACGAGGATGCGTTGAATCCATTTCTACAACCTAGCGTCGTGGCAGTGACGTCCCCTAAACAGGAACCTCGTCCAGCAATTCCCAATAAGTTTAATAGAATTATTACCCAGTGCTTCGACCCATTCTTATACATCTATGTGGACAGTCAAGACAAGTACGTTGATTATATTTTATACATAGATTTAATACGCTTAGTGTTTTTTGCAATTATTAATTGTGTATAATTGTGTTTTTAGAAACTTGGTTGAATTAATTGATAAATTCGTTTCTGAGCTGAAATCAAGTGGATTCCCTATTCCGTCTGGACCTGATGCCAATGGAGTTGTATTAGCTAACTGCGCTGACTTGTGAGATTTTATCGGTTGATTTGGTTTAAATTAATTTCAATTTCAGTATTTAACAAACAATGACATATTTTACAGATTCGTGTTTTACAAAAAATGCTTGGTCCAATGCACTCAGCTCAGTTGCGGAGAACCTCTGCTAAATTTGGGGTTTGTTTTTATCAAACGTCTGAGAGACTACTGTTCCAAGATATTGCAAGCCAACTTACCAAAGTAAAACAACTAATTCTACTCCTTAATTCGAAAAAATATTATAAATATGTAATTGTCTTTGTAGAATCGTTACAAACTCAACGTCGTTGGCATCTGTAACCAATATCACCCGAGAACTTCGTGATTTAAACACTTCCGGTTTAATCTCCAATTTTCAGTCTTTGCTTAAGGAAGGAGAAAGTGTCCGATTTACTCGCAATGAGCTCTATCGTCTTGCATGGTGAGTAGTAGAGACATGTGAGCATTAATCAATCAATCAACTGAGATTTATGTAATTTTACATTATTTCATTCCTAGCATTCTTACGACTGCTGAATACTGCGTGGAGACTATGCAACAATTAGAAGAGAAGTTGAAAGAAAAACTGGGGAATTTAGCTCCCAAATTAAGCATGGAGAGTGAAAAGTCGAGTTTTCTAGAAATTATTGACACTTGTGTGTCACTCCTGGTTCAAGATTTGGACTCAACTTGTGAGCCACTACTCGCTTCTATAACAAAGGTAAGAGATAAGGAAATGTGGTAAATAAACAGCGTTGCATATGCAGACTTTACATTAAATATTAATTAAAATACAAATTTTCCACTTTCTTGTTATAGACTGCGTGGCAATCTGTGGACACGGTTGGTGATCAGAGTCAATACGTATCAGAAATCGTAACTCAGTGGCGCTTGACGGTACCTACGCTTCGAGATTTTTTGACAAATTCACGAAAATATTTCGTCATATTTTGTCAACAATTTGCAAAGTACGATCATATTTTTAAAAAATGTTAATGCCCGAATAGCTAACTGAAGACACAAAATATTGATTGTGCAATTGTTTTGTTTCATTCAGGGTTTTTATGAGCAAGTATATTTCGACGCTGTTGAAATGTAAGGGTATCAGCAAACTCGGAGCTCAGCAGTTACTGTTGGACACTCAGAGTTTGAAAACAGCTTTACTGGATCTGCCCTCAATTACGCTCACTGTCAAAAGAAAGCCACCAGATAAGTGAGTCGAAGTCAAAAATTGTTTTTTAATGAAAATATCAAAACTAAAATACTTTTGTAATTTTGATTTATAGATACAGCAAGTTGATTGTGAGAGAAATGGGACGAACTGAAATGGTGCTGAAGCTCACAATGGCTCCCGTTGAACACATTTCTTCGTTTGTGGACCAGACAACCAAGCTAATTCCTGACTGTGACCTCACCGAATTTTCAAAGATTTTGGACATGAAGGGATACAAGCGACAAGAACAAGGACCGTTTATAGACTGTTTTAAAGGGAAGATGATGTATGGTAGCAACGACGGGATTGGCGGAACTAGCACTGTGGATATCGCTGATACTGGGGTGGAATCCAGTAGGATAAAAAAATTAGAGAAACTTATCAAGAAGAGATATGAAAATAAGCCCCTAGGTAAAAGTGAAGTTCTATCGCAAAAGTGACAATTGGATGATTAGTTTAATGTGTTGGATACTTGACAATCAACTATCAACAGAATATAATGTACAAGGCCGTGTTTAAATATAAAAGTTTATTACTTAAAAAACTTTCGTTATTCGGATCAATTACCATCCGATCTGCGTCGTTTTATGAAATACATTTTTGGAGAGTTGCATCACTGGTTTTGAATACGAAAAATTTAATTTCGTGACTTATCTAATAATAAACTTTGTTCACTTTGAGATTGTAGAATCAGGTCACTGAAGTTAATATTTTAACTGATTTTAGCAACATTAGAAATCAGTTAATTTGATTCCCCTGCTGGCGGCCCCATTGTTACGCTGGTCACTTCATTCACGATCATGGCGGCGACCTGCCAGGCTAGATCCTCTTTGGCCTGTAAAATTCATTCATTCAGTTTAGTACGAATAACAATTAAACTATCCATTTAACATTTAGTGCTCTACCTTTTCTTTGTCGTCAAAATTGACCAACTTTTTCATAGTTTTGGCGATACCAGATTCTATGGAGCAGGGAAGAATAATATCATCAATAATGTTATTTTGAATATATATAGTTAGTTGCGAAACGCTCACCTTTCTTAAACATTTCACAACCAACATCTGCTTCGAATTTTCCATAGGCAGTTACACGACCCATCGTCAGCTTTCTAAAAGTTGTTAATTTCATTACTTTACAATTTACTTCATAAAAAAAGAACACTTACCCCCGTTCTCTATCTCGTATTGGCGTTGGGCTAGTTAATGAGGAGCTGGTACTAATTGGATAAGACTTTACGGATCCGCTGCTACCTACACTACTGGAATCTAAATGCAGCAGAAACATAGCAGATTATTAATTCAAAGTTATTAAACATGCATTATCAGTGGCCATAAGCTGATAAGTATGTAGTAAGTGTCTGATTGTAGTTGTACCTTGAGGTTGCTGAGGCTTGGAAGAGTTCATTGAGCCGATAAGGTCAGAAAGAAATGAGAGGAATAAGGATGACTTTAGAAATCCTTCTAGGCAAGTGACGTGTAAAAAGGCAAATGCTTCAACTATTGCGTTATTGAAACAATGACAAACTTCATCCTGTGAGCATATTTTTGCTTCAATCTCAGATCTGATTTCATCCCGTATTCCCAATGGGTGTGGAGCTTGTAAGGATATGTATCTAAGTCAAGGCACATCAATGATTGGTTAGCTTCATCATTATATAGAAATATAGCAACAAATACATACAACTATAAATAAGCTTACTTTTCGTATAAAACCATTGCATCACTAACAGCGGTTTTCACGTCGATTATTGTACTATTCGTTCCTGGAAAACTATTGCTGTTGCTAAATTGTTCCGCAAAATTAGTGGCACCCAACCAAAACTCTAGAACTTCTCTCTTCCCTTCTTGTTCAGCGTACTAAACACATAAAGGTTTGCTCGTTAGAAGACACACATAATATACCTAAGCATGCAATTAGCAGACAAGTAAACTAATTAATACCTCCATAAAATAGAATAATGCACTTTGATTAAGGAGCACATCGTAGAGCGATATGCTGCTCCCATTTGTAAACAAGTCCATTTGGCACTTGACGTGAAACTTGCTCTCAATGTATCTTGGTAAGCACCTGTACAAATAATTAAGCCCATTTAAAGTCTTGCTTATTTATAAATAGCTAATACCTAGTTAGTTAGCTTTTTTGGTATTATCTTCTTACGTATCTTGTAACTCCCCCTCCAATTTATTATAAACTTCTGTGACCCATTCCAGGCAGTCTTTAACTTCTCCAAGCTCGTCGAATTTTGTCGTATCCAAGTTGGGGGAACAAATTTCGACGTGAGATTTCAATAACTGTAAACGTCCTTTAAAATTTTCTTCCGTATTACTTTCTGCTGCAGTCTTAAGATCCTCCACGAAATGCATACTTTCCTCCCAGGCGTTAAACAGGTCTTCAAAGCCATCACTCTTTACAAAGGCACAAAAGTAGTCACGAGCCCACATCAAAATTTCCGACACAGACGAGGTGCTACGACGATTTGTTTTCGCCAAGGCATCTGCGACCACGTCCGGAGGTGGCAAGAAGTTAAAAAGAGGCGGATCTTGGGGCACTACCACCTTTTGAGGCTGCACCACCGTCCCTTGAAACAAACCCATTACATTAATATAGTTGCTTATTTTTTTATAAATGTTGTTAATGTATAATTTTTATTGTAGTCAGTATAACAATTTATTAAAGTACCATTTTCCACTGGACCGGGCTGATTGTTGTTATTATTCTGATTTTTTCTTTTCTTAAAGAACGACATCTTCTACTTTTCATGTTCTTCTGGAATGGTGTTCGATATCTTTCTACTTATCAAGTCCTTGGCGTGCTTTGCATTTCATAGGTTCGAGATTTTTCAGGATAGTGCACCACTGAAGTAGGAGTGAGATTCCTAATAAATTGCAAAAAGACACTCCATTTTACCAAAACAAACCCATACGGACAATTCTTCATACAGTGTAAAAAAAAGTAAAATAATTCCGGTAATCAATCAATTATTGTTGTAAAACTAAATTACAAACCTGTCTGAAGAATAATGTTCCGAAAACAGTAAATAATTGACAACACGATAATCTCTTCTAGATAAGTTAAACCTCCACCATAAAAATTGCGCTACGTGAATTTGGAAAATAACACTGCGTTCGCACCGACACTCTTAAGTAATTATTATGAGCAGATTTGGCATTATTAGAATTGACACGAGAAGGTGAGAAGGTCAGGTCAGGTCAGCTGCTCTATAAAAGAAGCAGATCTCCCTTAAGGACGACCTACCACCAGCATCAGCAGTGGCAGAAAATAAAATAGGCTGCCAAAAGTCAACAAACTAATCTGGTGGATATGAATGACCCACCTGAACGAGCCAATAACATCACAATCACACAAAACCAGATGGCTCTTTCACAAAAAATCAAAAATTCTACGCCTCAAATAAAATTAGTTCCATGGAAAAACACTGGCAATCTTTGCAAATTATTTTGCAAAAAGTGGTTTGAGACGAAATAAATGAATTCTATATTGACTCGGCTCCTGGGGATGGAATTATTATGAGACTGAGCTACAAGAATTCGCGAATTAGGGATTGTTATTCCCTAAATTCCAAATGAAAATGGCCTCGTTAATTGATTACAATTGTGCGAGATTTATATTTTATTTGGTTAACGTTTTTCCTCTCGACAATTGGTTGAGTGACACTGCCGCTAATGCATATTTCAGGTCGATGATTCTTTAGGCTATTATTGTGGCTTTTATTTTCCATGCAATCAGTAATGTCCAACAGGTCGATAATATTTCTCGTGAATTATTGATCAAACTATTTCTGGCATTGGATTCGAGAAAACAAACCAGGGCGTTAATTTTGTTTGACGATGTATCATTGATTAGTTTATTTTCGGGGTCTCATTTTCTGATAAATTTGTCTTTCGGAAACATGGAGGAAGCGGAGGACCGTTCCCGATCTCCGTCCAAGTATAAAGCGGTCATGACCCCTGAAGGGATGTCGAAGAGGACTCATTTCACTGCTGACGAGGTTTGTTCAGTCTTGTTCAATTTGCATAAACAACTAAAATTCAAATGAATACGATCTGATTCCTGGATTCGTATGGAAAGGTTCGGTCCTTGCAAGCCCTTTATAAGGATTCTACTCTTGAAGGAAAAATGGATCGACTCCGCTTCCGAGAGATAATTCATACCACCTTCGATATCACGGATGATGTCATGCTTGACCGCATTTTCCGTGCTTTCGACACCAACAACGACGCCTTGGTAAAATTGGTGGTGGTGGTGATACCACTCTATGAAATCTTGTAACTTTAAATAAATAATATTTAATTATACTTCATGTCATGCAGGTGGATGAGACGGAATGGATGTTGGGCTTGTCCATCTTCCTCCTCGGGAGTTTGGACGAGCACATCAACTTTGCCTATTTTTGCTATGACATCAACGGAGACCGGTCACTGGCTCGGGAAGAGTTGTACCATTGTCTTAAAAACTGTCTAATTCGAACCTCCGGCATTGAGGAGGATGTCGAGGAGAGTGTGAAGGAAATCGTCGAAATTGCAATGCGTAAACTTGACACGGACAGAAATGGACAAATAACATTTCCCGATTTCCAAGCCGCCGTCATAGGAGATCCACTACTTTTGGAAGCTTGTGGCCCCTGCCTCCCCACCCCGAAGGCCGTGGCTGCCTTTTTTATCCAGCTCAAGACAAAGTATCAGCCTCAGGGGGGTGGGAACAGTAGTCGAAGACAGCAAAACCAGGGGACTGTTCTTTCCAGAAGGAGAAGGATGCGAAGGTCCAGCTCGTTTAATCCAATCATTACTGATTAGACGATAAATAATAATAATATGTAGTTTCTCTATTATGAATTGAAAATATTTGAACCAGTTGAACGGGAATATATTTATGCAGATATCTAGATAGAAAACTGCAGTCCGACTACTAATTTGTGTAGAAAGCAGTCCATGAAACGGGACGAAATTCGTACTGTATGGTACAATATTTAATACTTCGCATCGGGTCTCTTATGAAGCACATTACGCAGTTCTGCCAATTGACCTTTGTTACCTCCATCCGTATAGGAAAAGTAGGAATGACTAATAAAAATGACCCCATATGTAATTAAGATCACATCTAAGTGCACAAGTAGTGCAACTATAATAAAAAAAATATTATGTATGCTAAATTTGTTCCGTTTCATTCATGACATGACTCAATAAATACTTACATAAGTGCTTATTCGAAATAAGTACTCTCAGCTCTGTATTGCTCAATGATTACAAATTGACATATATGATATACAATGTCCCATGTACGCATAAAACTCAATTGGGTAAGGATAAAGTTCAATTTACACGTTGATTATCCATTTCGAGAAGATGCGTACGTATTGCATTGCACCAACACGTGGGTTTAGGTCCATGTATTTATCTACGTTATGTATATTTATCCCAATAATAGGGTGTGATGCACATCTTGTTGAATCCACCTCCTGTTTCATCCGTTTCATCATGCATACATGTAGCGAGCAATTTAACCAATCTTTTTTGCTGTATCATGCATCAAGTATATTTTTTATTCGCATCCTATACATTGTGTTTTCATGATGCTTTTTATCCTTTGTATTGCATAGTCTAATTTACAATACACCGTCGCAGAAGCTCTAGGAAAAAGACGTGGCTGGTTTTTACAAAAAAATTTTGCAGGAGATGATGACTTCTCAATCACGGGACTCAGAATAGTTGATTTTTATATGCTGCTAAAGGTTCATTCCTTTCGCAAAATAATGGCACGAGGAATCATTTATTGTGAACACAGAAGAACTACTACATTCAAGGACAATTCATGAATCCAATCCAGCCACCATTCAATTGACTGGACAAATAATGCCCAAGAGTAAGCAAGCAAGCATGCATGCATATTGTATATATGCAGACATCCAACTAAATCTATGGCAGACATTCATGATGTTGGCTTGGCTTGCATCACTTATTTGGTCACACGCAATGCGATTTTTAGCTGGAGAGGGGCTATAGCTTAGGAAAACTGGTAATGTGTCAGTATTATTATGGTTTATTTATCACGTACATGAATGACAAGTAAAGAGTTTGAGTCTGAGTTGCATTGCATTAAATGTAAAATACTGTTTGAGGCTCAAACGTTGAGCATCACTTGAGAGCACATGGTATGAATTTCTGTCCTTGACCACGAGTAGTACGATTGTTTCATTACTTGAGAACTTATCATCTATCATAACGTGTGTAATTATGCATCCAGTATATCACTTCTCGCCAGGCCTCTTCTCTTATGCAACACGGTGCACAGTTTTATCATCTTGTATGTATCTGCCAATTGACCTTTACGTCCATCCGGTCGTGTTTTTGCGGGTCTTTAGGAGTGTTAAAAATATTTGCGTGGGATGTATCATTTTGCGAGTGCAAGGAGAAGGAATACGTGTGTTAAGCACGTCATAATTATCATGACTAAAACTGATCCATTCATTTATCTTCGAATGTAGATATCATAGAGAAACTTAACTCGAAGAGTTGCGTATGTACATATGCACACGTGTAGCACTTTGTTTGTTGTTGTCGAAAAGCATGTACTTAATTTGCTGACGTCTGTTCTGTATCCAATCTGTTATTTAAAAAAAACAACCAGTTTTGATTCGTAAATTTGGAAGTAGTGTTTTGAGAACGGAGCTAAAAATGCATCATTCTTGTCTTGTGCCAGTTGTCTGAAGCGGATTTGTTCTAATTAAAATATGTTTGTGTGGAAATCATCGTACACAAAATGATTTCCTGTATGTTCTTAACTGTTTTGACGCAAAGGATTCAGGGGATTGGAACTATCTGCCCTCGTGCAGGATAAATAAACATCATCTACAAATCCACCGCAAACAAAGAGTTTTGTTATTCAAGTTATTAACGCATTTTTATTGTATAAACTGGTTTTTGTACATACAAAATATGTACGTATATATTGTATGCATACGATACCAACTCCTATACATTTTGGACATCCAGCAGCAAGACATACATAGTTGATGTAACGTAGTCGCGCTCAAGTGGAAACGTGAAGCTGGAAATATGTATCAGTGTTAAGCAATGCAGATAAAATTTACTTCAAATCTTATCTGATAAGCAAATACCCTTAATTAACTTCATTTATTTAGGCAATTCAGGATAGAAAAAGTAGGATTTCCTTAAAAACTGGTACTCCACTTTCATGAATGAAAACCAGGAAAGAACGAAATTTGAGGCTGGAACTTCCCGAATTGACTGCATTACTTTTATCAAAGACATACAATGCATACGTACCTAACAGGGAGATTTTTAATAATTGGTGTTTTTTATCTCCAAATTGAGTACTCACGATAAAAATAAAGGAGCTTGCACATCGTCATTAGAGATAACTATAGATTTCTACTCCAGTTTTGCAGTCCAGACCTAACATCTAACCTTTACTAGATATTTCTACCCATATACCCCAGATTTTCTCACGCCAAACTCCTTTCTTCTACAACTCGGAAGAAATAAAAGAAATTGTGCTCGTATTGTCGATAATATGGAAGGACATATTCTTGTAGGAAAAATTTTCATATTGATCAATTGTGCATTTAATCCCAGAAAAAGTAGGCAACCGGTTAATGCATAATTTATCGCGAAATTATTGCCTTCCCGATATTGGGAAACCCTACTCGTTCAAAGGGGGTGATAAAAATTGATTGCATATTAAAAATTTCGGGGCCATCCTTCCTGAACAATGGGCAAGTTGAAGTACATACAAAAGTTATTCTTGGTTGCACTTTCTCATTCTAGAAATCGACCTCGAACGAAGCTTCCGAAAAACTTGAGGCAAAGTTTTCCTCATAAACCTATTTACAACATAAGAAATCATGGACGAGTCTGGTCTGCTGTTAATATTTCACTGTGCACGCATATCTTACTTATCCATTCAATGAATTAAAATGCCACATATATATTGACGACATTTAATATTATGCAACTTAATAAATATTTGGTCTCCACACCATGGCACAATTGTTAGTCAATGGTTTAGGGTTTGCCAACTTATGAATACGTACTCTTTTCGCCAGTCTCGTTAACCTGGACTTGCTCATCATCATCAACTTATTAAAAGATATGCATTACATACACCACGTTGGAGTGGTCTATGGGAAAAATCCGCATGAAGTGAACTTATTCGGTCAAAGATAACGTAACATTCATCACGCTACATGGTGAATTCGCTAATGAAAACTGCACATGGATTTTCCAGTCATTCATTCAGCATTAAATGTGAATATACAAATTGCACTGTAGCAAAGTAAGGGACCGACTTTTTACTCTGTACACTTTTTTCTCGCCAATTACTGAAAAGCAGTCAGTCATATATGTAAACTAGCTCTCTTTGACACTGCCTATCTCTACGTGGAATAACTGGTATAGTTACTTTATTTAATAAGTAAACGAGTAAAAAACACAATCCCATGACCGGCAACTAAATATAATGTGTGTCCAACCATTCGGACAGGTTCGCCTTCACATAAGAAGAATAATAATAATTGCATAGCAAACTCCTATAACTGACTGAATTGCTTTTAAATGCTGGACGAACGGGTTACGTGGTGTGGATAGGTTTTAGCAATACTCTGGAGAGCTGGATATCAAACTAAACTATATTCTGCTCAGTGGATGGATATCTTTTTTGCACGTTTATTAACCAACACTGCGAGAATAATTTCAAGTCCACAAGTCCATAGCGTTTCGTCATACTTTGTTCCACGTAGTTTGCAGTTGGCTTTGGCCGTGGAAGGATTGATTATTAAATAGCAGCAGCATTATTGTATCTCTCGTATAAGAAAAGCCTAACTACAAAATAACCACACAAACCATTTAATAACACACACAGGCTAAAGTTCTTCTTTCTTCTTACTTATTTAACGAAGGTTGAATTCCCATCCAGCCATCAACCAACCAATCCTTTTCCTCCCCATCATCATCCCACTAAAATTTCCACTGCCAATTTATCCCAGTAGTAGGAAAACAAGTGCATTTATATTTTATTTTATTGTAACGACGACTCTTAATATTCCCATTTAGTGAGTGAGACTGACTTCTTTTGACATTCTCGGTGTAAAGAAAGAGAGAAAAAGGTTCGCTGCTGGAGAGGATCAGATTCAGATCAGATCAACTACACGGCTGGCACAGAAGAGTGTATTAAAATTACAATATTTTTAGTTTAAAAGTAGTAGCCTTGCTGTATTGTAATATTAGTTTTAGTGTATATACGTATTCTACGGGTGGTCTGGTAACTGTTGGGCCCCATAAAAATACATCATATACCTGGAGAGCTGGAGAAAAAAACTACTAAAATTAAACACCTAAAGACCTATTAATATTGTTATAAGTACGAGAACAGTATCAGTTATAGAGAAAAATCTGATCTTGATTTCGAAAGAGTAAGAGCTCATGCATTTTTCATAGGTGCGAAAGGAGAGGATTTCTTAATAAACATTTTAGCGAGCTTTTATTTACGGAGATACCTTACTGTAATATTATTGGGTGAGTTTGTGTCATTTTTCGCAACTTTTCGTGTGTAACGTTCGGAAACGACGAGTTAAAGTTGTTCGGATTGAACTTTTACAATAATTTAATTAGTGGAAATCTATATTCCGATACGTGGAGACCTGAGATAAAGTGAAGCAATATTGTGATTTGTGAAGCCAGCCAAGAACTAACCTAAGTAATACTTTCAAACGTAACTTTATCAAATTATATGAATGTGAAGAGATAATAAACTTAGTCGTAGACCAATAACGGAAAGACAATTAAATAACCTGCTAAATTGTTCAATTCGACTATCAAACCAATCCATAAAAACGTGATCTGAACTTGATATTCTGGTGTACTTTTCCATTCCTTCGTCGTCATCATCATCGTCATCATCATCATCACTCTGTTTTAAATATTAAATTTAATTGAGAGAATAAAAGATGAGTTCTGCGGAAGAGATGGCGTCGACGTCGACCTCGGAGGAGGGGACCGAGGCGTTCTTCGTCTTTCTCGGAATTTCCTTTGGCTTCGTGGACCTCGTCATCCTCGCCCTCCTCATCGCGGGGGGCCTCTACTACCTCTTTGGGCGAAAACAGGCCAGCACGACGGATGCAGCCGACAAATTCAAACAGTATTCCATCCAGTAAGTCAGTCAGTTGTCGGAGATAATGAATTCGTTTTTTTATGACATCGTGTCAAATTCAGTTAAGATGACTTTTCGTCTCTCTCGATTGCATGTGTACACCTCATATTGAGGAGTCGTTAATAGTAGTTGTAGGTATTACTTAATTGAGTAATCTAAGCTAATCTAATCTACTTCCTGTCGGAAAGGGAAAAAAATAGCTTAATTTTTGCCGTACAAAGATTAGTCTAGCCTTGTACCTCACAGGTGTCCAGTCGTTTTAATCGAATTACTACTTCACAATGTTGTCTGCATTTTGGAAATCAATTGTTCCTTCTATTTTTAAATCTGGGAGACAACCCCAACCCCGAGATGATTATAGTAATACAACAATGTTTGATCTCCGCAGACCAACCACATTCCAGTCACGTCCCTCGGACAATAGTTTCATTTCCAAGATGAAGGCCTCCGGAAGGAACATTGTCGTCTTTTACGGGAGTCAGACGGGGACGGGGGAGGAGTTTGCGGGTCGTTTGGCCAAGGAGGCTCAACGTTACGGAATGAAGGGTATGGTTGCCGACCCTGAAGAATGTTCTATGGAAGAGCTCACCCAGCTTAAGGACATTGATAACTCGCTCGCGATATTTTGCATGGCCACCTACGGGGAGGGAGACCCAACGGATAATTGTCAAGAATTTTATGACTGGCTACAAACTGGAGACTGTGACCTCAACGGTCTCAAGTTTGCGGTAAGTTTTGTTAAATCCAGTCTAGACTAAGTAGTAAATATTTAAGGTTTTAAGAAATCGGACATAAAATTTTATTTGGATGAGTTTTTTTATCTTAAATTTCTCGAGTTGAAATCATATACGTGGATTTTTTTATATAAAATCAATCGATAGCTATCTGAAGCTAAATGGTATGCATTCTTTTCTTTTTTCTTCTCTGAGAATTTTTCCAGACGGCAGAAAACATGATGCATATTTATTAGATAAATATACATACGTGTACTTTGTACGTATAATTAGTGTGGACGTTAAAGGGTTTGCTTGATTAATCATCATGTGAGCTGGGCTTTAAGTTTGAATAACAAAAGTAAATGAACTCTTATTACGTGACCAGTACTCTCGTGACTTTTCCAGTCAGTACTCGTACTAATACTCAATAATACATAATAATCTCATCTCCTGTACTCGGTCGACTGATAAAGACCAACCAAATGACTAAATAATAACCCATTGTTTGATTTACAAGAAATGACATGCAATATAATACACTCGGCGGGTACAGTTTACAGTTCTAGTTTGCACAGGCATGATTCATAGTATTTATTCACAATTTATCGGAGGACGTGGTTACAATAATGAATCGTCAATTATTTAGGACTCAATTTCAATGATTTATTATGAATGACGAATGATAAACAGTATTTCTATTTTATGACATAATGTTTTACGACCTGTTCGATTTGCATTTAACATGGTTTGCACCGGAAGTATGCATGTATGCAATGTGAACCTGATTTCTGAATTGTTTTCCCACAGGTTTTCTCTCTCGGGAACAAAACGTACGAACATTTCAACGCCATGGGTAAATATGTGGATAAGCGGCTGGAGGAATTGGGTGGAGAACGCGTCTTCGAGTGTGGAATGGGAGACGACGATGCTAACATTGAGGAGGACTTTATCACTTGGAAGGACCGATTCTGGCCCACCGTTTGTGAAAAGTTTGGCGTAGAAGCTTCCGGTGAGGACGTATTACTTCGTCAGTACCGACTCGTCACACACGATGAGGGTCTCGCACCTGAGAAGGTGTACACTGGAGAATTCGCTCGCCTCCACTCATACAAGAATCAGCGTCCTCCATTCGACGCCAAGAATCCTTTCATGAGCAAGATGACCGTGTACAAAGAACTACACAATGGCGGGGACAGGTCCTGCATGCATGTCGAGCTGGATATTAGCAATTCCAAAATGCGGTATGACGCCGGGGATCACGTGGCCGTCTATCCCGTTAATGACAGCACGTTGGTCGACAAGATTGGACAACTGCTTGGAGTGGATCTTGATGCAATTTTCTCACTGGTCAACATTGATGGTTAGTTAGTTAGCTAATTGCTATGCAGAAATGCACCCTCTGGCTGGCTGCAAGTATTAATCTATAAGGATTAATGTTCGTATATATGTGAGGCTAACGGATTTGGTTTCTTTTGCGTTATGTACAGAGGACTCTAGCAAGAAGCACCCGTTCCCATGTCCCTGTTCATACAGAACTGCACTCTCTTATTACATTGATATTACATCAAATCCAAGGACTCACATTTTTAAGGAACTCGCAGAGTATGCTACGGGTGAGGCGGATAAGGAGATTTTGAAATTGATTGGTGGAAGTACCCCAGAAGGGAAGGAAAAGTATAACTCGTGGGTTGTGTACGACAATCGAAACATTGTTCACATTTTGGAAGACTTGCCGACGTGTAAGCCAAATTTGGACCATCTTTGCGAATTGTTGCCTCGGCTTCAAGCACGATACTATTCCATTTCTTCTTCTCCGAAAGTAAGTACTTGAGTGCAAATTATTTTTAGCAAATGAGTATTAGTAATTTATTTCTATGTATCAAAGGTTCATCCAACATCCATTCACATAACTGCTGCCCTCGTCAAGTATGACACACCCACAGGAAGAGTTAACAAAGGTGTAGCAACAAACTGGTTGACGGATCTTGCTACCAAAATCGTTAACGGGGAAGAACCCCAATTCCCAATGTTGCCAATTTTTGTACGAAAGTCACAATTTAGGTAATTTGATAACTCAACTTATTTACTACATTGCACCAAATAACAACAATGTTTGATATCTTACAAGATATGAATTAATCATGACAAATAATTCATGTCCAGGTTGCCAACTCGTCCTCAAACTCCAATTCTCATGATTGGACCTGGAACTGGTTTAGCTCCTTTCCGTGGATTTATACAAGAGCGAAAATATTTGAAAGATGAAGGGAAAATTGTAGGAGAAACCGTCCTGTATTTCGGTTGCCGTCAGAAGGCTGTAGATTTTATCTACCAGAATGAACTGGAGGATTTTGTAAATCAAGATGTCCTCAAAGTATGATTCATATTAACAACTTACGATTAGTTCTTCCAGTGATGACGGGATCATCTAATAACTTTCTCCAATTTTCGCATAATTAGATCCACGTAGCATTCTCCCGTGACACTGGTAAGAAGGTGTACGTGCAGCATATGCTCCTGGAAAATGCAACGGACGTTTGGAGGCTTATTGGTCCAGGTCAGTCAAGTTGACTAAAATTATTAATAATAAACCTAATCATTCGTTAACTTTTGCATATGTTGTATGTGTTACATTATTTTATTTATTTTATTTCCAGAAAATGCTCATCTCTACGTTTGTGGGTAAGTCAACATGACATTTTGAGTAGAACGTTACGTTGGAACAACAAATAACTCACATTTTGCCATATTTTCAGTGATGCTAAAGCTATGGCTCGCGATGTACATGACGCGATTGAGAAGATTGTCCGGGAAACTGGTGGGATCGCCGAGTCGGAAGCATCGGCCTATGTTAAGCGGATGGAAGCACAAAAGCGTTACTCAGCCGACGTTTGGAGCTAAGTGTTCTCAAAGATTGATTAAAGTCTTACTATTGTGTTGCTGTTGCTCTTTCACCGTCTGATGACAAAAAAATTATTACTTGGTAATTCTTGACGATATTTGGGAGATGGTTGTTTTAATCAATATTTTTTTTGGAATTAGTGATATTGTATCAATCATGAATCCATCACCTATTTTAATTTTTTACAAGCTCAAAGAAACCATTTCTTAGTGGCCTTTTAAGTGTGTCAACCTTTCTACTTTCAACTACACGCAATTACAAAATATATACTAGCACAGAGTCATAATTTTTATCGGAGGATGTCTACAATCTGCAATCATAATTATTAATAAAGTTAATCTTGAACGAACAAAAACTTGACCAAAAATAACACACTACTTCCAATTGATCAACAATTTTACCATGTACTAACGTGATGATTCATTAAATGGGACAAGTCTTATTAAATAATTAGTTTTATGTAATAGATCGATAAATATGCAAGGGTTACGTAGACAATCAAGTTTCTTGTGTGTGCTATAAACCAATGGACCAGGAACATGTATAATTTTTAGAGAACCAAGAATAACTGATGAATGTTAAGTGTAAGGAAATTGGATATTGAATGTAGATATTGAATGAAAATTATTTGCCATAAATGTTTCAGATGAACTTGTAATATTTCCAAACAACTCAATAAAAAACGTCACAAATACATGGTTGTAATTTTCATAAGTTTTATTATTTAACGTCAAGTACCGAACATATTAAATAACTAATAATAGTAATAATTAATAATAACAAATGAATAACAGTATAAGCCTTCAACAAAACTAGACGTTGCTTGTTAAGTTTCCGGCGTTTAAATCACAAGACAGATTCCTCTGATGACAGCCATTTTCCCCTCGTCCACACCACCCCCGAAGTCCGAAATAAGCTGCCATCAATAACCTAATAGAATCCAGCGGAATCTTTTTGAAGAATACCACTTGATTCTATGACGTAACTTAATTGATTGAAATTGAAAAAAATACTTGAATAATTTGAGAAACTTTAGAGATATAAAATAACAAATAACAAAATATGAGAAAAATTAACAAATTTGAATCATCCGTACAATAATTAATTAACTACGACTACTAAATAGTGTTAACTGTTTCAATAATTCTATACGACTGCTAAAATTTACCAGTCTAAAATCTACAGTAACAATTTTTTTAAAGTTTTTGATAAAGAATTTTACAAACTACTCGTTTCTCTATGTACATTAAGTCATAAATAAAGCACGCTTAAATCACCAGTTGGGATAATAAGGGTATCTCCACATGAAAAATATTTTTACAACTAATTGTAAGTACTACTACTACTAATAATAATAATTCTGTTGCATAGAAGAAGTTTCACTCTGGACACATTGTTGGAAGAATTTGATTCGTAAAGACGAAGGCATTTAGTGTCTATAATATAGTATGGCATTCAGACATTTTTTAAAAATACACTATAGCTATTACTTAATTTTAAAAGTTTAGGAAACTTCCCGACTACACAATTTCAGTGGAGGAGAATATATCATTTGCAGAGGCAACTTTCAGTCTCTCAGTTAATCTTGCAAGTGAGTTGATATCAGTTAAAAATTTCAATCTCATATGATTGATTAAAACGTTTAATTTGTAATATCAAAATTAGATTTGCGAAAACGTAAAAGTGAACAATGGCATATTGTATTTTGTAAAATTATTACGTACGAGACGAGTGGGATATCCGTTATCCCACATAAATTAAAAAACATATTATTGACTGATTTGTTGTTGAATACTAATCTGCGAATAACATATGAGTACTAATAATTTTTTTCACTTGAAATGGAGCCTGATTTGTTTGGATACGATCAATTAATGCGAGTCAAATTGCTAATTTGAAATTGTTAAATGAACAACTTCACCTAAACCAAGATAACTGTTGCAAGATTATGTTCTGATTCTTGGAGAGCAGATGGAGGCATAGCTGCGGAGTCGTCAGTTTCTTTTGAAGGATTTATCTCCTCCAATTCTTTAACTGGTGGAGGTTTGATTTCAGCATCTTCGATCCATTTAGCATATCTGTGATTAACTAGCTCTTTATTGATGAAAATGCGCGTCTAAAAAAAGAAAGTAATATTTTAACACACTCATTATATATTAACAGTATAATTAAGTTATAAAGACTAACATGATCTTTAGCAAATTTGTACAGATGAACGAGCGAAATTTCATCGACGTGTGAATGACCGACTACGGTAGATTGCAATGAAGACCCTTCAGATATGATTCTAAAGAAAGTCACAGCCTCTTCGCTCCAACCTTCTTCCTCGTTGATTGGAATAACGTTAGCGAGTCGACAATCTGTTGCCTGAAAAGGGATTGTAGCAAAATCTACGCGGATTTGTCGCAGCGTGTCAATCCCCACTTTATAAAACCCTCCGATATCCACGAGGCGGATCAAAGCTTCATCCTGATCTTCATATACAGCATGCACCTCCGCTCGATACCAATTATCATGTAGAGGTACGACGCATATGAGGCCGGCTAAAGAAACAAAGACAGAATGGTGACAATTATTATGAGAAGTACGTTTAGGATTAACAACATTTGTGGTGGAACAAAAGTTGGAACAGAGACAACTAATAATCATAAAGTGTCAACAACTCTCTGTAATATAGTATTTTGGACAGGACATTGCCTCATGTGCCGGATATGAGACGACCGGGTAAAAGTACACACTACTGCTACTGTCTACATGTATTACATTCAGAGGATGGAGACCCGGGAAAGAGTGCATCGCACGCGTGGCACTAGAATGGTGCCATGTGCACCCGATCATGCCCTACTACGCATTTGAATGAGTATAGAATAGAATTACCCGGAAATCATATGCCAACAAAAATATTGTCAACAATTGCTGTTGAATTGTCTCACATGCATTATAGTTCTACCAAAATATTCGTACCTTTAAATGGCCGCAACAGCTTCGGAGCCCCGAAATCCTCGGTAGAATACATGTTCAAAGCTTCTTGAAGTCTTGGGAGAGCAGAAAAAGTAGGGTGTGTCGGATGCTGGACGGGGATACGCTTTAAATCAGAAACATGACTCACGGCAACATCGTTGATAACACCCTCAATCAAAGTCAACTGAAAATTAAGGGATAAATCATATATAAAAATATTAAAACCACCACACACAATTTTCTTCATTATTTTATCATTTTGTTAATATCTTCACCTTATTATGTGCCGGAATAAATGAGACTGGAACAACTGGGTCACCAAAATTGGATTGTTCCAATGTAATGCTTGTAAATTTTCTAAATGGGAATCTCTCCCTAATCATTTTAAGTCCATGCATAATCTCGTCATGCGATCCTGTGATTCACAAATCACATCGCCCCATTAATACAAAAGGTCACCATATGCCATGGATGTCATAATAAAACAACTCTTCCACTCACCCTCAACAGCACAAGTCCTCAGAGAATTGGTCTTGGAATGCCGCTTGACGAGAACATTGGCCCCACTCAAGCTTTTAATCTTGTTCACGAAAGTGCCATACCGTCCAATCAGCCTGCCCACCAGAGAAGGGGGGATATCGAATTCGTAAAACATGGGGTACTTGGGGCACACCTTGGCCAACTACATAAGACAGACATTCAATGGAATTGAAAAATTGAAAATGATTACACAAAAAATGAAAGTGAGTTTTTCATTAATAAATTTAAACAAGTGCAATATTCGTAGTATTAATTTACTATTAGTTATATGTATGTATAGCATAGAAAATGGAATTCTTACCTCGGCCGTGTATGGCACCGCAGGTCCGTACGGGAAGGGCGAAAAGGGGCACTCAAACTCGGCCACTCCGCTCTCCACGCTCTCTGGCGCCGAGATAGATTCGCCCGACCTGGACGAGCCCCCCTTCCCACTGTCGCTCGAAGAATATTCCTGCTCGCTGAAGCTGTTTTCCGATGACGAAGACTGCGCAGCATCGTCCACATTTCCACCATTGGCCACCTCGACCTCGTCCCCCGCAGGCTCGACCTCTTGACCCTGCAGGGACACAAACAACTATTATTTCCCTCATCCACTAACAAGACGCCATAACCACTTACGGCTTGATCACCACCCTCCTCCATACTTCCTTGTCCTTGTTTGTTTTCTATCCTGCTGCCAAACAAATGCGAAGTATTAATTAGTTAGGTACATGAACGAGCGGACAATCTGGACCTAGTTTTCTCCCCTTCAGAGACTCCAAATCCTACCAAATTTCGTACCTGAGCTATCCAACCTGGCTGGAGTCCCTCTGGTGAGAATTGAGTGGGCGTGGTGACGTATTTCTGGAGAAATATGGCAAAATATGGGAACCAAAAAAGCCGACACACGTGCTCCTGCTGGTGCCAGTCCACCGTATGCTCTGCTCCTTCTTGTCAGATTGAGTCAGAAGAGAACGTGATGGTGGTGGCGATTTGACTTTGAGGCCTCTGGCTCACAATGTGTGGGTGTGCACTAATTTTGGCAAGTTTGCACCGAAATTTGAGTAACAATTGATGTGAAAATTGGCAAAATTAGAATTAATTGGTGCCAACGCGGGGATCAATTCGAGTCTCAAAGTGGGTGGATGCTACCAGGCGGATTTTTTTTGCGGAAACCCGGTTTTGAGCAAGGGTGCCATCTTTCAAATGGGGTTTCTTTACTTTGTTGTCGTTGGCCCAGTTTGTATTATCATTTGCATAAGGGTGATTTGCACAATGTGAAATTAAAAGTAATATTAAAAGTAAATTATAAGAATGTAGAAATTAAAAGTGACAAACTTTCCCAATAATTCGTAACAACGTGAAGGTTAAAGCGAATAATTGGGTAATCAAAAATTTGATAAGGTTGATCTTACTATAAACTTCAAATTGAGAGGATGGTCTTTCATTCACGATTATGTAGTGCAAGAAGAGTTTTTTTTCAAAATATTTCAAGTCCTAGGAATCTGTATGTATAATAGTAATAGCAAAGCATGTATTTGGCTGGGCTATTATTGGAATATCGATAAATTAACGAAAGAGTGAAAGTGTAAACAATATTTCGTCTCAAAACTTTGGGAATTCCGACGTAAATGCCCATTGTACTTACTTGACATGAAAATAAATGGAAAACAAAATATTATCAATGTATTTATATATTCATTATTCCTGAGTTTTATATTCGCAACTTTTTTTAACATATTGTAATTATGTTTCTAACTACGTAAAAGTATGTATCAGTCGCTGTTTAAATTTAACCATGATGTTTTACAAAATCATTAATTATATTAAAGTTCGTTCTTCTATTTACTACATACTTATTTTCAATAGATCATCCCTGAATGATAGTCTGCTCGATGGAAAAACACATTTGGGTTAATGGTTGACAAGGTAGGTTCCAAAGTTGTGTACAAATTGCCATCTAAATTATTTTCATGTAAATGTTAAAGTTATGTCAATCAAGGTCATGTTAATTGTGAATGCAGGTTTATTTAGCTTGCTTAAATAAATAATTTACCCCCGAATACGGCAGTTTTGCAACTTTTGTTGGTTGGTTTAAAATGGAAAAATGATGGCGAATATCGTGAAAATTGGTCCTCCTCCTCATATCCACCATCTTTCCCCATTGCGGCCAATTGACGACCCTGAAATAATAATAATAACTTGGTATAATTATGCTGGTTAAAAAAGTTGTATTGTCAACTTGTATAAATGTACCTTGGGCATGAACATGATGAGGAAAATAGTCAAACTTTGTGCAACCAGTCCAAATGCTACACATGCATCTTGTTCCCGACCCTGATTTTGAATTAGTAAAGATATCGAGCATTTTTCTAAAAATTGTAATTTGTCGACAACTTGTATTCCTACCTCCAAAATCCATCCTGCCAGAATCCAACTTACAGAAATCGGAACCGTTACAATGATCGACATCAAAATGTAAATTGATTCCCGATAATTCTCCGCAATGCCTCTAAAAGTGGCTTTGGCTGCTAGAAATCCGACCAAAACGACAAGAAATGCGATATACCACATTGAGCAGAGTAACAACGAGTAAGAAGTCCCACACTGGAGGAATACGGAATCCTCTCTTATCAACTCCGTCTCCTGAAAAAATCAATTTATGTACTGGATAAAATTTTGGTTATCTTCGATAAGTCAATTTCTGCACATAAATTTCCCCTTACCTGGAACACAGGTGGGAACAACATTGTCCACTGCGTGTCCAGGACAATTTGGACGAGCACGGAGAAGAAGAGGAGGGAGCCTTGGTACATGGTGGGCAGATAGACGCCCACGTCCAGGCAGAGGAGAAACATACACTTGACCATGAGCACAGAAAAGACCAAACTGTACGAGAGTCCGATCCCGATTCGAAAGACGAAACATATCATCTGTAGACAGTAATGAGTCATGTGGGAATTTATCAATATGTGCATGGAAATATGTAACTCGTGTCGGAAGAATAAGTGGTAGCAGCATATGTATCATTTGAACGGATAATACATGGTTATCCAAGCCGTCAAATTGTTCTACTTTTATCAAAACAAACATCAACAACAGGATGAAAACACCGTTGTTACTCGATGCATGCGAGGTAGACGGTAGATACATGTGTACACATGGGCGATGATATGATGTAGCCATGGGATGATGTTAAGACATCATTTATTTATTACCAAACCGTAAAACCAGACTACCAGACAGATGCAGAAAATAAAGGCCTTAATTGAAAGGGTGGTCCTTACCATGGAGGGATAGATGGCAAAGAAGAGGGCCAACGTGGAGCAAAGGAAGAGCCCAAAGAGGAGCATCTGGCCGAGGAAGAGATGTCCCCTGGACTGGCCCTTCGTTCTGCAGAGGACATAAATTTCGAAAAACGTGATGAGGACGATGTTCAGGGAGGCAAAGACGAAAAGAGGGATCGTCCAAATCTCCCGTTTAAGAAAACCTGCAATCAGCGTCTGCAGATCATTCTCTTCTGTCGACTTGTTACTCGTATCCTCTTTGGAGGACCAAACCTGACCGAGTTCTGGCCTCTTGTTCCTCTTATTAACGCCACCACTTCGTTCAACACTGCCAGTTGTATTTCTTAAAAAAGAGGCAGATTTGGATAATCGACTTTCATTTTCATTGTCAAAGTCAGCAGAGATGTTTACTTCGGAGGAGCCAAACTGTTGTTGGGATTCGTCATGGTTTTGAACAGAAGAGGCAGCAGAAGAATAGTCAGTAGGATTCGTCTCGGTTTCGGTCTGATTTTCAAGTGGAGCGTCGTCATCATCATCTTTACTATCCGAAGAGGAGGTGATGGTGCTAGTGGATTTGCGAGATGGTGTTCTTGCAAAAATGATGGCTGGCTTGGCATTATGACGCCTCGTTTTTGAGCCATAATTTAAACCGTGGCCATCATCACCATCACGATAATGATCAACACCTGTCACCACCCCATTACTATTGATGAATTTCTCATTTTTCAGAGATAAAACTGTCTGTCTTGGTGACAACCTCATGACCATTACGCCATTATTGGTCCTCACCACGCTCTCCTTGAGCAATAAGTTTTCGCCATGGCTTGGTCTCTCCACCGACAGGACAATGCTGCCGCTCATGCAGATCACCACCAACACGCAAAGGCACCTCATCGATATTACCGTCATTATCAAATCCAACTCGTATATATACAGATATTTAGGTAGCTACTTGTCACGCACTTTTCACTTTTCACATCGATTTCTTAATTCTGAACATGTCAATTTCCAGAATTTTAGCGGATGGATGGCTGTGAACTGATGACCACTAACTAGTAATTCCCTCAAATTAGTACAGCCTCATCATCTTAACGACATATAAAACCGGCAGCCATATCAAAGTTAAATGATGTACAGTTTCCGCTTCCTTGTCCACTCCAATAATGCCAAAGTGTGTACTCGTCTTGTCATGATGTAAGATAACAACTGTGCCCCAGCATAGTTAATATTGGTCAAAAAGTAAGAGTAGGGGTACATTTAGGGTACATTTTTGGTCTTCGATCCTTTTATCATCAAGTCCAATTTATTCCGAGTGAACTGCAATGAACACAAAGTAAAGTCGAGTTGAAATCAAAAGTTGCTTCCACTCGTGTACCTCGCTGACTTTGCATTATTATTATATTAAATTATTTGCATGGATTAATTATCTATAAATAATTTACCACTCGCAACAATACAATTGCTTATAAATAAAAATAAGTTTCTATTGTCATGTCATGGGCTGATTCACCAAATTTTCTTTCTAGACCCAACTTTCAACAAGCAGAATATTGATAATAAATTTAAAACATGCAAAATTTTCAGTTTCTTTTCAGGTACATATTCATACTTTCAGCCATTTATCGAAACGACTGCCAATAATCACTCAGTCATAATAATCAAATCAAGGTTCGACAATCGTCAAACCAGAAACGAACAAAATGTATCCATCCGGCATAGCAAATAAACTCATCGCAAGTCTAATAAAGTACAAGATAACGAAAAAAAACAACTTTGAATTGACTTCAGTATTCTACCCTTTTTATTTTATGGTCGGTGATTCCACGAAAAAAACGCGTAAAACGCATCTCTTGTATTTATATCATTACAAGAAATGTGCAGAATTCTTGTAAAAAGAATCGCCATTAGAGTATTACAATTGTATTGTGCCTTCCTTTTTCAAGAACTGATCATATTACATGATAAACTTTTGAACTACATATTCAAATCGCAAATCTTTTTTGCATCATAGCCAAACGCCAACGGTGAAGGTGATGCAAAACTTTAATATCATTATTATTACTGAAATCATCGTGATGACATTCTATTCAGATTCTAAATATTGCTACAAATTAGCTTCTGGGATTTATTACTTTTAGACTCTTTTTATATGTAGGCAGTTTATTTTTATGTCCTTTTTTTCTGTTCGTACGTATCTGCAAATATGCAATTACGTGTCCCGTGCGTATTCATTCTAGTCGTGAAGAAACGACAAATTTTTGAGCCGTTCATTCTCTCACGAGGCGTAAAGAGAGCTCGAAGAGTTCTTTTTCAAATCTCGTAATTGGTTTAAATTCTCAGTTGGATAATCATTGATGGCATGGGGTGCATGCGGTTTGGGTTTTTGGATCCATGTGCTAATAAGTAGCGTGTAATAAAATAGTAATACGTATAATGCCTCTCTTTCTACCAACTACGGCTGCTAATTGGACCACGTAACAATTAAAATGTAATTTTAATCCTTTTGTTTAAAATTATAAAACCGTATATGTTACGTAACAATCCGAAACAATATGAGGAAATAGCACACCTAGTTTTTAAGTACTTTTGCATACGTATGCATTCTAAATTGTGATGACAAATATTTTAAACACTTTTGCATACATACATATTCTAAATTTTGTTGACAAATATTTTAAAACTTTTTAACTCTTCTGTTATTCATGATAAATACCACATAATTGTATCCTACTCATTTGATATTAAGGAAATTAGCAAAAAAGTAAGTACGTATGAACATATGTTTCAAAAGTTAAAGACATATTTTTCTTTGCAATATTACATCTTTAATAAACTGTGAGAAAAGACATGGAGAAATTGTGAATGCTTCTTCATGTGCATCTATCTACATACCTAACAACCAGACTACATCGAAATTGCATGGTTTGATCGACTTTCCAACTAGACTCCCATAAGCCACGTTTTTTCGTGGTTGTCAAAAATGCAGAAAAATTAATTGGCGTGTGTGCAGAGATGAGTATGTTAAACGTGAGGAGACTTTTAAATCTCCATAATAATAGTGATCATCAAGTGGGCGATGATGTTTTGACAGTAGTAGCAGCAGCAGCGTTGACAATCTTTTTTTGCTGCAGTAAAGGGAAAGTTATTACATGAGATAAGACGCCATCAATCATGTCTTCCATGTATAAAACTGGTCTAAATAAGGGGCAAGTTTTTCATGTTTTTTTGTGCATTTTAAAACTAAATTGACGCATAAAAGTGAGTAATAATAGCAAGTATGACCAAGTATGAGTGCAGTAACAAAGTGAGCCATTATCGAAAATTTCTGCTTCAGCGGTTGCTACATACATAATAGTAAATATGTAACAATGGCGTCTCTAAAATTAGGTACATATACAAATTAGATGCGGTATTATTATTTTCATTAGATTCTTAATTGACGGAAATGTATAGAAAGAGTTGAACATTAATAAATAAGTTTCTTTGATCTTAAATTATGTAAGTTAAAAGCTGTGCACTTTTTACGACAAAAATATTTATATACAGTTATAAAAATTTCACATTTTAGGAGAAGAATGAATATGACGAAATGACACTGCGGGGTTTAAAATATTAAGATAAAGACTTATCTTACCGTACATATTGTGTGGCTTGGTCTCTTTTTTTAGCCGAGATCCATTTTCTTTCACTGCAGGCACAAAAATCGTGCCTATTCTCAACTTTCTGCAGTACCGACGAACCAACCACTTTTGCTCAGCCAAGCGTTGGGTTATGATTCTGAGAGTGACTCCGACTATCCTATCGCTTCCCTGGCTCGAGTGCGACTGAAGAAATGCACCAGCTTGTTGAGGACCTTATGAGCATTTCGAAATAAAGTTTTTCTTCTTCTTCTTCTTCTAATCTTTATAACAAGCAAGCCATCCGTTTGTGTTGATCATCATCAGCACGTCAGCAATATGGCTCAGGCTAGATTTGAATGAAATGCAGCAGTATCAAGATCAGGGTTTATTCAGTTAGTGGCAGAATTTCATGGTTTCTTGCTATGGGTCAACAATATTATGCACTTTATGGCGATGTACTTAATTTATATATGGTTTTATCCGACTTTATTTAAAAAATTAAACTTTTGAAAGAGATTTTTATTCAGAGAAAACACATCCTGAGAAACTTACATATGAGAGACAAATTGGTGAATATTTTAGACTTTGTTATTAATAAATAAATATAATTTCCTTAATTAATTATCAAGTCGAGATTGTATTGTGAGGTGCATGCAATTTGTGACTTCTTCTTACTTTCAAGGTACTTACTTTCAATCATGACATTTCAACTATTTAGCAAGAGTACTAGATATGCAGCATTGATTGATCTTGAGTTTGACAATTGCAACCTCATCAGCGTGCCACATTTCACCTTTTACACTTGAAGTATCTCACTTGTCACACAAAAAACAACCCAAATAGATTGTGACCAAAATAGCACAACGACGAAGACAATAATATAACACCCAAACATTTCAACAACTCAAAAAGCTGTAATTAACTCTAGTCTCAAATCAACATATGTAAACAGAGACGGTCAAAGGAAGGAGGGTCACAAGCTTCCGTAAGTTCCACTTCTGAAGAAGACGTCGGGGTCGACGTCGTCACTATTGCTCGACGAGCTATTGGAGTTCAGGAGATACGATGATTCGTCCGAGTCTTCCGATATCGTGGGAGAACTTGGATGTCTCGTCCATGGATAAATGACAACGGTATTCGTGTCACCCCACTTTCGATAAACCATGGCGTTAAAGCAGGCTTGTAAAGGGTTAAATGTTGCCTGAAATTTAGGAATAATTAAATTAGGAAGAGTTGTTTCTATCATTTTTTTACCCAAGTTTTTTCCCGTACCATTAAGTACCAGTCGAATAGGACAAACCCCTTGGGCAAGTCGCCCCACAGAATCCAGAGCATAAAGCCATTGATAATATTTGGAATCCAACACAGATAAAATACTAAATTGATGCAGAGAAACTTCAATTTTAAGTTTCGTAAATGTGTCCTCTCATTTTCAGTGAATCTTCCCGAGACGGAAACGAGAAGTTGTTCCGCCTGGAGATGAAGAAAACAGTCCAATTAAATTAGATTCAAATCGTTTAGTCATAAATAACAATGATGACCTCACCGCATGAGACGTTCTCCAGTACAAGATCGGATTAACTAGCATCACAGTAAGTATTGGGAGGTAGGTGAAAATATAGTTGGGCAGTATTCTCCTAAATGGATTTGTGAGCATTGAATGACAGCTGAAAGTTGAGAAATATTAGATTTTTTCACTTGCACTACAAATTCTGAATATGATATGGCACGTGTAAATACTTAAGATCTGGGGTGTAGAGGATTGCCAGTCCTGCGGCGGTGAGAAGGGCAGGAAGTCCCCAACAAATGGCATGGTACAGCTTAGGAACGCCACTTCTTTCGTTGAAAACTTTGAAAACGTCGACCGCATAGCACAACGTCCAAAGACATGTCGCCGTGTAGAAATATTGTATCCAGCCCTTTAGACAACATTTTGTATAGCAAAATACGTCCCAATGTGTTCCAAATTATTACCACTTACTGAGGACACTGTGCAAAAGAAGGTGTCGAACGAGACGCTGGTCGTTGGGATTAACAAGTTCTTCGCAACGATCCAAGATATTGCCCGGACCAGAACGGCTACAAGTGAAGACAATAAAAAATGCCATTCAATCTATGACTTTACCATGTTATTTAAAAATTAAAGCTCGATTACCACTTGACGCCATGAGGTCGGCCGTCGCCAACCACGCGATAATGTAGCGACTCCGGACACGATAGTTTGACGGGCGACGCACCCCCGTTTGTAGCTCGTGCCTTGGCAAGATCTTTGGTGTTTGTACATGTATCAAATTAGTTATACTTTTCTTCTTAATATATTTTCATCGTCTGAATTTGATATCGGTATTTACCTGATATGTTGCTCCTAGAATTCCACAAACTGAGAATATAATGCACACCAAGTTATACGGCCCACTTCGAAATTGAATAATCACATCGACCCCAGGACGAGTTAGGTTGTTTTCAATACAACAAAATGTTTGCAAGGTTGGATCCGCCATTTCAAAATCTTTTTGGTATATTTGTTATTCGAGATTTAAAATGCTCGTTCCAATATCGTAAATTAGTACAATCACACTAGTGCATTCTGGTATATTAACACTCCCACTAAATAGTTTCATACGATACGATATGAATTTTTTTAAATTTGTTATTCAACAAATTCATATTCTATTACGTAACAAACTTCGCCTGAAATGGTACTCAACTGTGTTATTATGATCTCCATCATGAAAATCTGAGTCCATTTAAATCGCACGTTATCTAATCCCATTTTCTATATGAAATTGCCGGTGCACAAAAATAAGGTAAGTTAACACCTTCCATTCATCCTGCAGTGTTTGATGCAATGCAGCCGGAATCTTATCTTCTACCTGCTCGACCCGATAAAAAATGTTGTCAACTTAAATACAAATCAATTACCTGTATCAAAGAAGCAAACCTGTTCTTCTCTACATACACACAACACAGAGCATGTTTCTTTCCATGAATTCATCCACTTCTCTCAAGTTTGACATAAAGTTTTGAACATATTTAGAAGAAAGGCTAATCCGTGACTTGGCTGGAAGGGCGGATTCATCATCATGTTGATAAATAGAATTGGTGTAAGTAGAGTACTTTGTGGCCACTAAGGAGGATAAGCGTTGATAAGCATCGATAAGCAGCGTTCTGTCACCCTTCGACACCGTTGTACACCCTTGCGCCGCCTTAATACAAGTGTCTCTGAGCGTCACAAGGATGCACAACGATGCAGAAGGGTGGCGTAGCGTTGCATATTGATGCTTATCGATGCTTATCTTTGAAAGCGATGGTGGACGTGATGGGGTGGGTCCTGGACGTGGCGAAGACGACGACAATGACCAAAAATACGACCTCCGCCACACCCACCACTGCCACCACCACCGCGAAAAAACAAACTAAAAAATAAATAAAAATATAAATAAATGACGACGACGACGACGACGACTTTGAATGAATGCGTATGTATGTATTTACCTTACATTTATTTGTTGAGATCCATCTTCTTATATAAAAAAATAGCACCACTACCACTACCTACCACTAAAAAACATGACGACCAGGACGACGAGTTTGATAAATAAAAAAATACGTACGTATGTATGTACATTCACTTAAAATTATTTTTTGAGAGTTGGCTTCTTGCATAAAAAATAATATTATCAGCACCACCACCACTACGGTCAAAAAAGTCCAAATCTCTAATGGCCGGTGCCACGTCCAACTTCAACACGGTTGGTGTCGATCGCCGAGTTGAGAGCGGTGACGGCTTCTTGAGCACAGAGCTCAGTCTCGTCCTCTTCTAAGTTATCTAAAAATCTTTAAAAAAATTAACTAGTTAGTTGTTTGTTTTTTTAAAAGAAGAGTCCTGTCCGCCATAAAGGTTGCATGTAAAAAAAAAACTTTACTCCATATTTTAGTATGGGGTGTGAGAAAGAAAAATGATTTAAAAAAAACGAACCGTCTGTAAGGAATGGGTCGAGGGTGAAGACGACGGCGAGTCACGGTTCGCTTCACTCGATATATAAACACTACGACGACCATGACGATTGTCGCGGTGATGACCACTGTTACCGAAATTACTGAAAAAAACCCAAATACAAATTTATAATGGAGATGTCCCAACGCATGCTCTCAGATTTTTATTAAACTAGAGTCAATCGATCACAAATTTGATTAGTATGAAATTTGCAGAGGATGCTACTTACTAGTCCATGTGGAGTTGTTGGTTTGTGGGGGTGGTGATTGTGTTGTAACTGTTGTTGTTGTTGTTGGTGTGAGGGTGGGAGGAGGAGGGTCGTCACAACGTCCGGCTGGTGGAATGTAGGAGGTGTTGGTAGGAGGGGAGGTAGTACATCCTAGGGATGAATAAAAACACCCCGCTCGGGTGCAGACGAGACAATCTCCATCCGTCGGACACTCTAAAAATATAAAAAAACATGAAATTATGAAATTCTGAAATTATTATTATTATTATTATTATTATTACTACCAAAAGTAACCCCCAAAAAAAGAAGGAAGAAGAGAAGGAGTGACATTTTTTCAGAAAGTGAGAGAGAGCGAGACAATAATAAATACAACGTGCAACAAAGTGAAATATTTGTGTGTATATGTGTCGGCGCGGTTGAAAATACAAATCTCACCTTACTCAACTTTCCCCATCCAAATAATTTAATAGAATTATGTCGGCCTAAGGTTTATTAGTAATGAGAGTAATGACGTCGAGGAGTGTATAGTAAAAAAAGATAGGTAAATGATATTTTGGAGACTAATATATTTTTTCGGGACATAAACTTTCAGTAGAAAATTTTTGAAAATATGAGACGTTGTAACCTGGTTCTCAACCACCTCGTGTGGTTCTAACAAAGTCGAATTTATTATTTAACGAAGGATGAGTCAATCTAGGCGAGATTAACGGAAACGATAAAGTTGAAACAGATGGGTTTTCTCAAGTATGATTTTGTTAGTCGTTATAACACGAAAAGGGGAGGAAGCGGTTGGTAGTGGGTAGTCCACTTCACGAACTGAACCCCTTTGTGAAAATATTGGACATTGTAACTCCATTCCCAACCACCTGGTGTTGTTGTACCAAAGTCTATTTAACGAATGGAGGGGAGTGAGTTAATTTAGGAGATTAACGGAAACGATAAAATTGAAAGTGAAGCAGATGGTTTTTTCCCTAGTATGATTTTGTTACTCTTATAACATGAAAAGGGGGGGAAAGCGGGTGCTACAAGGTCAGCCCGCCTCACGAACAGAACCCCTTGAAGTTTAACGGTTTTTATTCTCTGCTTAGTCAGTTGTGTAGCTAGAGTGAGAGTAGTCAGAGTCCAAAGTAGTTTATTTGAGTAGTATGAATTCTGAATTCTCACAAAATAGGAGAATTTACATAGACGAACTGGATACAACAGGAATGGACGTGTTCAAGGGTTATTCACTGGTGGAAAACCGTCGAGTTAAGCTTGTCGACAGACGAAAATCAGAACCTAAGAAGAATCAGTGGAAGGGTCTACACCACAATCCACCAACATTTCGCATCGAATTCGTTCCAACAAATCTTGAGAAGCTAGGACTGAAATTTGATGGACTGGTTCAAGAATCAGAAGTCGATAAGTACAGCATCAGTCGTGCTCGGCTCGCCCAACAAGTAGAATTTTGGAACAACCCAGTACTTGACGAGACAACCATCAACAGTCTTGTCGTCACCTCAATTTTCAAGGAATCTCCCTACGAATATTTCGATTACAGAGATGAAGGGCCGATGATTGGAATATTCAAACGTTCTGGAAATACGAAAGGGCAAGCAGTTTGGATAAATTTGATTGAGGCTCAGATCCTCATCAAGTTATTCATATATTTACTCAACCGGAAAATTGCACAGCTAACGTCAACTAGTCGCAAAAAGCAGGTTGAGTTTAATTTGCAATTTAATCAACAGTCCTGCTTCTACGATCCAGTCAACTTTATCGACCTCGGGGTATCCAGAGACTTTGTTGTCACCGGGCCAGCTGAAGACGTCAAATTAGAAGAGTTGGTTGAAAAGTTAACCTTTCAACAAGAAAATTTTGTCGGGGGTGACGTGGTCTACCCAGTGGGATCGATTGACGTTCTTCATTCGGAAATTAACAGCGCACAACTTTTTGCTCTGTTAAAGAAGCGAGGTAGTGATGCTGGACAACGAATATGGTTCAGTTGTCATGAGCTACAACATCTTCTCCAAATCCTTGTCCAACGTGTAAAACTGGGAATCGCACAACTCCAACGTGACATAAATGGATAAATTTTTCCAACTTTTTATTTTTACTCAATTATTTCTGTTTTCTTTTGCTATCAATAATAATACTAATAATAATAATAATAATAATAATGCAACCATTGTTGATCAGTGTCTGTCCTGTATTGAGTATGGTGAGACTGTATTTATTAAATCCGTGTGGTTTGCGTTAAGTACACCGGATTATAGATGTATAAGTAGACGATTCTTTTCAACTTACAAAGGGTTTATAGTTGACTTTACTTGTAGTTCAGATTACTGTCCTAAAATTGAAAACTCTCCTAATAGATTTATTTGGAATAATTATACTTCTTATGACTGTTCTAAAGTTGTTGACTGGAATCAAGTAGACATTTCTCCTCAAACTTATTTCTTGTGGATTCAAGTGGTCTTATTGATGGTCATCCTACTTTTTGTGGTGATTGGTATGGTATGATTTGTTTTAAGTACAAATAATTTATCGTTGGAAAACTTATGATGGATTTTGTTTTCAGGTTTCCTTGTCCGTAGTCGAACACTGTTTACTCGTTTAAATGTCTGTCACCACTGATCGTGACACTATGTATATAGGTAGGTGGGTTCAAAATATATTGTTTAGTTTTTGTTAATAAAATATTTTGCCCATCCTACAGAAGCTGTTTAGTAATTCACCCCCACACATCTCTGGTAAGGCAAAATACAATAGAATGATTTGATCGTGTGTTGTAAAATAAAATGTGGTTGGTGATTCGATTGTATTTTGCTTTACAGTTTGTTACAACCACTCCAACTATACTTTAGTCTCAACATGGACACCACCACCCGGAGAAATTTTGAAGTTATTCACACTCTGACTGTATCTAGTTGTAGAATGTTTTCTTGTTTTCATTTTTTTTGTAAATAAAAATAATAATGTCATCTGACAAAATAAAACGATTGTATTTTAACCCAAAATTGAGTGGGAGTTATAGTGGATTAAATAATTTTTATAACGAAAGACATTTAAAACTCTCCAAGAAAGATGTGGAGAAAGAGTTACTAAAGTTACCTGAGTATTATCTGTACCGACCAGCATTAAAAAAATTCAGAAAACGACGAGTTATGACGTATTTCCCTAATTGGATTCTCACCTTTGATCTTATATCATTGTTACAATATAAAAATGAAAATAATGGTTATAGGTTAGTTGTCATTTCATAAATGTTGAAATACTTTAATCAAATATAAAATAAAATAAAAATAAATATTCTAGCTACATTTTAAACGTTATTGACTGCTTCTCAAAACGAATGTATGTTGAACCACTGAAAAATAAAAATTCGGACACTACATTGATGGTGTTCAAGAAGATATTTAAACGTCTTCCATCAATTCCTAAATACGTGTTCTCAGATTTGGGGAAGGGTAATAAATCAGATGCATTATTATTATCGATTGACAATAATTTCTGGTCTTGTTTTGTTAGAATTTGTCAACAAAAAATTACAAGAATTCTTCAAGTCAAAAAATGTGATCTGGTATACGACAAATGGAAAGAGTTCTATTGTTGAAAGAGCAAATGCTACATTGATGAGTAAATTGATTAGATTATTTAATCACAAAAACAGCAACACATATATAAAAGATTTGCAGCATATCGTTTCAAACTACAACAATACCAAGCATCGGTCAACAGGGTTCAGCCCGAACAGTATTAATTCAGAAAATCAAGTAAGAAGTTTGTTAACTTGAAAATTGCAAGCATTTTCTAATAATCAAATCAGTTCATGGTATTTAGAAACTTATACAAAGATTTGTTGGAAAACCCTCCCAAAGAATCAGAACCCAAGTTCAAAGTAAATCAAAAAGTTCGGTGGAGCCTTGTGAAGCCTGTTTTTGAAAAAGGGTTGGTTGTTCATAATAAAAATTTCTATGTTATGATTTAATAGGTGAATCATCATTTTTTATAGTTATTTTCCACGATGGTCATTGGAAATTGGACATATTGCTGAGATCAAGCAAACTGATCCGATTACATACGTCGTTTTAGATGCTAACAACGAGTCTGTTGGTAAAAACTATTTAGTAGTCCAACGTTGAACACGTTCATATTCTTTTCATTCATAACAGGAATATATTATGAACAAGAGTTGCTTCCCGTACAAGAGGAATCAGAAAAAGGAGACGGAAGCGTTTCGTCAAGTACAACAGCCTAGTAAAATAACGGTCAAAAACGTTTCTCCGGAGATGTAATACCATGTGCAAACTCGAGTCCAACGTACTGAGTCATCGTGTAACCATAGCAACCACGGTTCACCGTCCGAAAAAACGTTTTTTATTTCCGGTTCCCGCCCCTTTCTCCCTCGCTCGATTATTCGCTCTTCCCTTCACATCATTCATCCACCACGTCATCCAAACTGTTACAAAATGAGTATCGAAAGTTTTTCTACTGATTCTTATTTTATTTACGTTTCGAGTAATAAAACAATATCTGACGAATCTCTGTCTACTTCAGATTTTTATAATACTTTGTATACACCATTACAACTCGAATCGAACCACTTCGAAGTGGCATTATCATCTGTGTGGTTTAAACCCATCGATTCATTCTTTGGAAATGGTGACAAGAATGATTCATTGCTAACAATAACATCAAAACTTGGATCCGTAAGTGTGTATACAATTTTAGAACCTAGTATTTTCAGTGTAGCTGGGTTTGTTAGTGAAGTTAATGTAGTATTAGAAACCGCCGGGATTATTCATACTGGAGAAGAAACGTCTGACGGAGTTGAAATAAGTACTGTTTTTAACAAAATTCATGCAAGCACTGGTTCGTATCAGCTTACATTTTCTGAACGAATTTCTTCAATGTTGGGTATGAGTGGTCGCACTCTTACAGGTCAGGATATTGAGTTGAGTAATATAGATCTTTATCAAAACAACAATCTGTATTTAGTACATTGTGATTTAGTCCCACCTCAGTTATTTGGTAGTCAGTACAAACAAATTCTAAAAGTGTTTGAGCAACCCCACAACACAGTAGGCCTACAAAGCTCCTCCTTCCACCCTCTACAGTATGTAAACGTATGCGTTCCCAACATTGACCGAATACGACTTTGGGTAACAAACGAAGCAGGACAGAGTGTACAGTTTGATGAAAACTCTGGGTTTACATGTCTACTCCACATTAAACTGAAAACGTTGTAGGATAAGTGTTTCTTTTTAACACAATGCCGACTGAAGGGTTACTTGGTGAAACAACATCGTACCTTGTCCCTTTCAACTTTGGAGAAAGTTCATCAAAGAAACGAGAGTTTGGTGATTTTAAGTCCGTCAAAGCTAAACGAGTTCGCAAAACAAAAAAGTCAACACAATTAGGAGAGGGTTTAGTAAAAAAGGGTGGTAAAAGAAAACGAAAAACAAAGAGTCCTGTTTGTGGAGGAAAGTGGAAGAAAAAGAAAACCTCGGTAAAGCGGAAACAAAAATCGAAAAGGAAAGGGGGTAAAAGAAAGAAAACAAAGAAGGGTGGAAAGAAGAAAAAGAAGAAGTAATGGCGGCCGGTTCATTAAAAGCTGTAAATAGCTACTTGGATTTGTTCACGTTAAATGCTAGCGACGTATCCACATCTAATTCATATCATGTTCCGGTTTTTCCAACAGTTTCGACAAAGGAAATTGCTGCGCCGCTTGAGTTTAATGTAAGCTTTACTAAACTAAATAATTTTCAATACTAAGTATATAGTACAAGTACCGTTATATTATATTTTAAAGGTTAGCGGGATTCCTGGTGTGTACTTGGATTTGGCGGAATCATTTTTGTACCTAAATATTCGAGTTTTAAATAGTGATGGTACAAACCTTGCTACAGGAGTCGACCTTAGCTGTACAAATTACCTACTCCATTCATTATTTGACATGGTTGAAGTTTACATGAATGGAAAATTAATATCCTCCAAACCGTTCTATCATTATTGTGCATATTTGCTAAACCACCTATCCCACAGTGAAACATACAAGAAGGAAATATTAAAAAACGCCCTTTATATTCGTGACACTAATGCTGACAGACAATCCAACGACAATACTGGTTATGCTGCAAGAAAATCCTATCTTGCTAAAAGTCAATCGGTGGAATTATGTGGTCGTATAATGGACGACGTCTGCCTTCAACCTAGGTGGATTCTTCCTCTGGTTGATTTTAAGATCAAACTGAGACGTGCACCGGTTAGATTTACTCTAGCGTCAGCAGTGGACACAGCCGAGTATAAAATCTCAATTGACGAAGCTGTATTCTATATAAAAAACCAATTGGTATCACCAAAAGTGGTCGAGTTACATGAGAAGATACTTGACAAGCAGAAAGCTCTGTATCCGTTAATTCGGAATGAAATAAAAACTGTGTCAATAGCAAAGGGTTCTAAAATTTCAGTCACAGAAAATATATTTTCAACCGTACAACTACCTCAACGAATTGTTATACGACTAGTTGAGACAGGTAATTACTCAATCACTTACGAACATGCAACACATTCTATACATATTCTTAAAATTTGTTTACAGAATCAATTACTGGGAAATATAGCAAGAACCCGTTCAACTTCAACAACTTCAACCTGTCACGTTTTGTTGTCTCGATTAATAATATCCCTCTGGAATATCGTTCCTTGAACTTGGCTTTCTCTACACGGTATTTGTTAGCTTTTCAAAGTTTTCTGGACGGGTTGAGTCTTGAAAATAAGACGATTGGGTTGGATCGTTCAAGCTTTACCGATGGTAACACACTGTTTGCGTTTCAACTTCAAAGTTTTCAAAGTGAGACTAGTTTTTATCCTACCAACGGTACATTTAAACTAGAGTTAGATTTTTCACAAGAACTTACAGCAGCCGTGACTGTCGTAATTTTATCCCAGACTCAGAATCTCATGACAATTAACAAGTATAGAGAAGTAGAAATTGAGAATCAAGGACTTTTGCAATAAAATGAATAGTAATCAAATGTACAGTGCTTTGAAGTTAATTCTTACACCTTATAAAATTTCAACCTTTGGTGTAGTATCATCTGATGAACTGGAACATGAATTATATAAGTCTACTATTTATCCAAAAATTTTTATTTGTAATGTGTTACCAAGTACCTCAAAAGTTGTAATGGGTCACTGGATTCTCGTTTATGCTACTAGTGAATATAAAATTGAAGTATTTGATAGTTTTGGGAAAGGTTTACTATTTTACAGTAAAAAATATTTCAATTGTGTACTTAAAAAACAACCAATTCAGAATAAACGTTCAGTTCAGAACTGGTACAGTGAAGTTTGTGGTATGTATTGTCTTTATTATATTTTTCATAGGTTACGTAGAGTATCAATGTCTCAACTTATGAAAATATTTGGTAGAAATACACTAAAAAACGACAAGATTGTGATTAATTTCTATGCAAATTTAAAACTTAAGCTTTGTAGTAAATATAAATGTAGTCAGACTAGTTGCTCGCAAAAAAAATTCTTGTGTAGAAACGTGATTTATTGTAAGTAATGTGTTAATATATCTCCCATAATTTTTTTTATAATAGATAAATAAATAAATACCAAATTTAATTTATATGTATGTGTATGGTGTTTTTTTAATATGAGTTCGGTGGATACAAAAACCTTTTTTTTACCTTTTAGTCATAACACCAGATTGTACTCCCACTGCTTAGCTTGACCCTCATCTTCCTCGGACGCCCAATACATCTTTCTGAAATTAAAAATATTCGACTTAAAAAAAGAAATAAATCTTGTAATTACTGATTATTGGAAATTTTTTTAAATGTACTAACAAAAAGTCCTCAAGCTTCTCGTCAGCGTAAGCTTTAGCTCCTACTTTAGTGAAAGCGTCAACTTGTCGGAATAGTTTGAATGGTGTTTCACAGTTATCGTCAAGGTCTCCACATTGACAACAGATTAAAGGGTGGCATACTTTTGGAGGCTTTGGTGGTTCCATTGGAAGACCAGTCTGTATGTCGAACGAGCGTCTGAATTTAATCGTAAACCATTCACGATTTGCTATTCCTACTCCATTGTACCGAGGACATATACGTAAGAATTTGATTGATTTGAAATAGGTTTTAGAGTTGATGGGGAGTTTGGCTGGGATTTTGCTACGATCGGCTGGTGTTGAGATAGTGGAGCATCTAATTTTTATTGAAGGTTTATGTTCAATTTTCATATCGCTGTTACGGTAGAAATATTGGACAGTAAATACTGAATCATGACAACCATTACAATTATCACGACCACAGTCAAACGAAGTCCACATAAAGTCAGACTCCACTCGTTCCGTCAGAGTTGCTCGCTTGTTAATGTGGGTTGTCTTGTCTTGATTTCGTTCCGTTGGATGAGGAGTTGCTTGTTGGTTGGTGTGGGTTGTCTTGTCTTGATTTATTTTAGCAAGTTGTTTAGCTAATTTGTATTGAATGTGTTTAGTCTTCTTCTTTTTGGGTTTCTTGACGAGAGGAGGGGGACCTTCACCACAGGTTGGAGCCATGTCCTAAAAAAAATAATAAAACAAATAAATACAAAAAAATCAACAATCATCTCACCAAAATAATAAAGAAGCGCAAAAAGGCAAGCAAGCTAGCAATAAAATCAAACTACATGGAACTCAAATTGATTATTTATTTAATCATTTATTTTCCAATAAACATTTCAAACGTGATCCATTGTTTACAATTCGAGGGTTCATCAAAACTAAACCTATCGTATCGATCCAACAATTTTACAAATTCTGAGCTTAAATAATATAATGGAGCATTTGAATCTTTAAGAAATTGGATAAAGAGGCCCATGCCGGGCAACGCTAGTTTTCTCAATTTACTGTGACTACTGGCCGCACACAGTAAATCCACGATATTACTTTTAGGGATGGTTTGTCCCAAGTATTCAATCTCTCCATTTCTCTTCCACTTAAGATTATTGTTTTCTATAATAAAATTAATTAATCGACTCGCTTTATTTCTCTGATTTTCTGGAATGGTAAGTAGAAGAGTGTTTGCTTCAGAGTTATCTGCTGGTTTTGACTCAAGTTTCACTTTCTCACTACTACCAACACTACTACTACTACTACTACCACCAATAACTGGAACTGAATTAGTTAAAATACTAGACTGAAGGTTATCAACTGGAATATTTTGGTGGATAGATGTTTGTGGATTGGAAACTTGAGCAAACTGTTCATTTATAGTTTGGTTTGGGAAACTTGTTGATAGTGGAGGTG